CTCTATAGTCAAAGCGTCTAAAGTCAAGTCTAAAGTCATGCTCTTAGTGACAACCATAGATTATACACTTAATATATTTGAGGTGACAACTGTCGTTGATCGTATAAACTACTGGTTTTGTATTGTACTTGTAGATTGTAGTATTAGTTAGATACGTTAGTTTTGAAGTCGTCGTGGCATATAGTATAAGACGTCCAGTGCATTCGTATCTAGCGATGCAACGGTGTTCGGATCCCGCAGGCGGGTATCAATTTTTCTAATGAAATACGTACTTGACAAATGTTCACGATTGACTTCCACGGTGAATGAATAACATCGTGTAATAAAAATCAAGCCCGCAAAATTATAATTTGCGTAATTACTGGTGGTAGGACCTCTTGTCAGTCTGCACGAGTAGGTACCACCACACTGCCTATTTCTGCCGTGAAGCAGTAATGTTTTGAAGGGTGGGGCAGCCGTTGTAACCTTAGAACTTATATCTCTAGGTGGGTGACGCATTTACGTTGTAGATGTCTATGGGCTCCAGTAACCACTTAACACCAGGAGGGCTGTGAGCTCATCCACCCATTTAAGCAATAAAATAAATACATAAAACTGGGTAATTATTATTATCTGTTTAAGGGATATCAGGTTTGACAGTGCCGGTAGAGCTTGTATAGGGATTAGTCTCAAGATATCCATGGCAGGCCTCGATAACGAGTGATTTTAGACTGGCACCATTAATTAATGGAAAACATACACAATTATAAGTAACATACCTGTTTTAAAGTTTTAATTTAGTTTAATGGCACAAGTTACGGTGAACAATTTTATTATTAAAATACTTAGTGGAATCACCACGCAACAACAAATAGTTATTGCCTGTATTGAGTGTATGAATTTATTTAACGTTTAAAACTAAGATATATTTTAATGGTGAAGTTTAAATTTAAAAATATTTTGTAAACATAACCGTACATGTGAATAGATAATATGAGAATACTTTAATTAGAAATAATAAATAGTCATTTTGATGTCATAATAAAACGTCTCTGTCGTCCCGTCATTAGCACGTAGTATTTACAATCTCTTTGATTCTTAACTCGTTTTTTTAAACTCAAACTTTTTAACATAATCATGAACTTATGCAATTAATTAGTTAGGTTATAATTTTTATGACAATTTTTATTAATCACCCATCTTATGGTAGGGGTAACCGTCGGTTATGGACGTCAATAAAAGTCAGGGACATATCAACGTGATATCAACACAGCCGCTGCCTACCGCAAAGATAATAAATACTTTAATATGTTTATTATATTTATGTATTGTCTGTGGTTGATATCGCTTAAATTTACTGGTGGTGGGGTGTACATATTGCAAGCTCCAACGACTAGGCACCACAACTTTGCCAATTTCTATCACAAAGCAGATAATATATTATGTATTTTGGCTTAAAGGGTAGGGTGGGTATTATACAAAACAATTTGATCCTTAAATCTCCTGTTTAGCGGTGACTTTTTGTAGTGATGTTTATGAGCTAGCTCATGTACAAAAAGCACTACAAAAAGCCTAGGTGTTCCTAGAAGATAAAAGTTAGTCGACAGGGAGGTCGAGCGCAGAGCTTCCCTGCCGCCCTCGGACGCGTTACCCCCCATTATCACTTCCGAGGTCAAGGAGGCGATCGAGAACCTACAACCATGGAAAGCTCCCGGATCCGACGGCATGCGCCATCGCGCTCGAAAAATGTTACCAGTCCAACTAATAACAATGTTGGCCACCATCTTAAATGCTGCTATGACGACGTGCATCTTTCCCGCGGCGTGGAAAGAAGCTGACGTTATCGGCATACACAAGCCGGGCAAACCGAAGAACGAAATCGCGAGTAACCGCCCCATGAGCCTCCTCCCAGCGATAGGCAAACTGTACGAACGACTCCTTCGTAAGCACCTCTGGAACTTCGTCGCGTCCAATAAAATATTGATCGACGAGCAATTTGGATTCCGCGCCAAACACTCGTGCCGCCATCAAGTGCACCGCCTCACGGAGCACATCTTAATAGGGCTGACTAGGCGGAAACCCATCCCGACAGGGGCCCTCTTCTTCGATATAGCGAAGGCGTTCGACAAAGTCTGGCACAACAGTTTGATATACAAACTGTATAACATGGAAGTGTCAGACAGACTCGTGCTCATTATACGAGACTACTTGTCGAGCCGTTCGTACCGATATGGAGTTGAGGGAACGCGCTCTCGCCCCCGTTACGTAACAGCCGGAGTCCCGAAAGGCTCCGCCTTCTCTCCGTTTCTATTTAGTTTGTATACCCCGGTCTCCAGAGACCCATCTGGCGCTCTTCGCCGATGACACGGCTATCTACTACTCGTGTAGGAAGAAGTCGTTATTGCATCGGCGACTCCAGACCGCAGCAACCTCCACGGGACAGTGGTTCCGGAAGTGGCGCATCGACATCAACCCCACGAAAAGCATAGCGGTGCTCTTCAAAAGAGGTCGCCCTCCGAATACCATTTTTTATCTGTGAAAGTGCACAAATATGGGAAAAAGAATTTTAAGCTAATATTTTTTTTAAATATAAACTTCAAAATATTTGAATTTATAATTGTGTGACTTATCTTTATCATTTTCACATTGCTATTCAAGTAATATAGGTTCTTTATTAATTAATTTAATAATTAGACAGTATAAACGCACTTGTTAACAAAACGCTAGTAAATACGGCCATTGCCAGCTGACCGACAAAACCGGTGCATGCTCAATGTAGGCGTGAGGTGATGGTTTGCTTATTAGATATAAAATAATTAATAATTGGGAATTTAATTGTTTTATGATCGAACAATCACCAATAGTCATCGAACAAACGATAATTGATCAAAATTAATTAATCTGAGCGATAAAAATAAAGATACCTAGTGAGGGGCGCCAACTTAATGGTGATCATTTGTTTAATTAATTATAAATAAATAAAAGACGAACAAACAATTTTTACATTTGAACATTAACGAACAAACGACGAAAAAATAATTTAAAAAAAAAGATCCGAAAATCAAAGAAAAAAATCAAGGCTAAATTCACTGAGCCGAAAATGAAACAAAGCCGCTGAATCTCGAGATCCTCCAGTCTGTCAGCCCAGTCATTTTTTTTTCGTACCTAAGCTAAGAGCCTTGAAAGGCTATATCAGCGTGACCTTAACTAGTAGGTGAGCTCACGGGGCTCAAACCTGACGACGTTGCTAACACAAACCCTAGCAAGAGCCGTGCTTCGCAGAATCTGCCACCGGATCGGAAACGTGACCCACTGAGAAGATCCGGCGAGAAACTGAGTGGGCTGTATCTGAGGGCTAATTTCACGGAATAGATAAATAAGGTTGGAATGGTAATGTAGGCGGGGCAAGCGTGCCACAGTTATGATCGAACAAACATAACTCGACCGATTCTTTCATTCACCGCGTTTAGTGCGCTTCGGAATACTTGGGCGAACAGATCTCCGCTTTATAGTGCCGTGTTGTGCAATTATAACTTGTAAAACAAAAAATCAGACCTCAAGTATAGAGCGAGGAGGTATATCTTTCGATCGGTAAGTCGAAATTACCATTTAATTACAATATTATTTGTCTAAAACATAAAAATATACTGAGCATTATGAAATTCCAAACATTAACAATATTATTGCAGCAAGTTATAAATAGCATACATTGCGCGATGTGTACTCGCCCAATGAACGCAATGACCAAGTCAGCTTCCAATGTACTACATGCATTGCGTTCTCTACACTTCAATCTTTGAAATTTCGGCCTTTGCCCTGATTGGCCGTGCAGTTTGTCGATAGTGAGGTGACCATGTGGTAAAATCATCGACAGAATTCTCGACTATATTTACATTTGACATGGATAATTTTTGCATTATTTTATATTTAATTAATGATACCTAGTATATTCTTAGTGAGACGTATTTTGAGTAAAATAAATATGTATTATTATTATTGAATTATTATCATTGAATTAAAGTGAAGGTATAATATAAAGGGACATGTAGACCTCTAATTTACGGGTATTTACTATATTGTCTAAGACGTATTAAAATCTAAGTAAAATGCTATTTGACTTATGCAGTAAATTAAAAATTTTAGGTTTCCTAAAGAACCTAACGCCAGGGAACAATGGATTGACGTGACAGGTAGAGGAAACTGGAGACAAAGACGAGTACTATTTGCTCTAAACATTTTACTGAAAATGATTTTATCATAAAAAAAATCAGAATACACTTAGTTTTGAAAAATTCATTCGCAATTAATAGCAAGCGCCAACTGCTTAACAAATACGTTTTATTCCAGCGACAGTGACTATTTGTAATTAATAAAAGTAAAATAGTTTTTTTTTTCAATATTTATTTCATGTTTCATTTTCTCCATTCATTCATCAGATAATTTATCGATAAAGAATATCGATTTTATCAAGCACTAGCGTGTATGAACATTTTTATTGCCTTTTTGCGTGTGTGAGTGTGTATGCCTACGGGTGTTTTGTGCTAGTTTGCGAACGAATATCTGTCCTGAGATTTATGTGTGGGTGTTTTTGTTGTGTGCGAAATACTTGTAATCACAGTGTGTGTATGTGTAGAAATTAAAATAGTGGGGATGAAGCGGCGACACTGGTTCTAATACAAAATTAGAGCAAAGGCCTTTCCAACCTTATTTATCTATTCCGTGGCTAATTTACTCGTCGAGCCCTTCGTCGCAAGCGACGGGTTCGATGAGAACGATGACCGGGAAGACCAGTCCAGAAAAGTCTCAGTAAATGACCACCATTTTGCTGGGATTATATTTCGTCTCATCTCATCTCAAGTCATCTCGTCATTCATTTCGTTTTCGTTTCTATATCATTTATCTCAATACAAGTTTTCATTAAAATTAGAATAAAAATTGACTTAAAGGTCTTACTTACAAGGTTATAAATTCCCTTAAAAAAATGTAGTACCTACTGAGTTAATCTGTGAAACACAGATTAATTTTAAGTAATGGTTATAAATAGATCTTTTTTTAATGGTGTTTTAAGATGAAACTGGACGAAATCTTTCGAAATAAACACCAAAAAATATACGGAATCAAAAAACACGGCCGTTTGATCCATTCCACCTCTTAAATACGGCACTTTACATCTACAGGAAACAAATCAACGGAGTTTTTGTATTATCTTTTAAATTCACCTAAACCACATAATTTAAACGAAGTTATCACTGTAAATATTGATATTTTAAATTCGAACCACGTCATACTAACAGGAAATTACAGTTGCTGTTAATATGGATAAGTCGAGAGGTTTAAATTTTTTCGAACTCTGTAGACTATGTCTGAATGAGCATGGAACTGTTGATGTTTTTCATACGAATCATCTCGCTGAGGAGATATTTTTGCTGACCACGATCACAGTACGTACAAAGCTCACCCAAATATATTTTTTTCAAATCCTAATTTTAATTTCTGTCTGGTTCTTCTCATCCTTTAGGTGAAGCAGGCAAAACATATTGATCCCGTTTCTAAGTTCATTTTTAGTTTCCTTAGAACTAATTGCATATTTAACATCAACCCTTGGCAATGTGAGATAAAAAGTTGCTGGATCATCAACATAAGAAAGATACTCTGGATACTGTTCTTAGAAATAGTAGATGTTATTGGAAATAGAAATAGTTGTAGCGATGAGCCAGGCCTCCATGCTTTTAAAAAAATTTGTTAAATTGCACACAAGGGATTCGAGTCAATTTAATTCATCTGAATTGAGATTGGCAAGAAAAGATAACCCCAATATTAAAATTTTTCTTTGTTCTGAGGTGAGGTTGAATTCTGAATTGTATTGAATGGTCATATAGCTCTTGCAAGCAGATGCTATGTTTGTTCATGACAGAAAAATACACTATAGATGCCTTACCAATAATAAGTTGTTTGTTGTTCTAATTGTGTAGAGCACACTTGAAAATAACTGGCAGATTGGCTGCATGTCTCTTTTGTATTGATGAGATTTTACCAACCCTGATTTTATTTAATTTTTTTCATAATACTTAATATATTTATTTTTAGATTTTTACGATGGATAAACTACCATGTCTAAAATGTGTAGATGTAATACAAGTATAGATGCCTTACCAATAAGCGTAGTCATCGTGGCCTAAAGGATAAGACGTCCGGTCCATTCGTATGTAGCGATGCACCGGTGTTCGAATCCCGCAGGCGGGTACCAATTTTTCTAATGAAATACGTACTCAACAAATGTTCACGATTGACTTCCACGGTGAAGGAATAACATCGTGTAATAAAAATCAAACCCGCAAAATTATAATTTGCGTAATTACTGGTGGTAGGACCTCTTGGGAGTCCGCACGGGTAGGTACCACCACCCCGCCTATTTCCGCCGTGAAGCAGTAATGCGTTTCGGTTCGAAGGGTGGGGTAGCCGTTGTAACTATACTGAGACCGTAGAACTTATATCTCGAGGTGGGTGGCGCATTTACGTTGTAGATGTCTATGGGCTCCAGTAACCACTTAACAGCAGNGGTAGGACCTCTTGGGAGTCCGCACGGGTAGGTACCACCACCCCGCCTATTTCCGCCGTGAAGCAGTAATGCGTTTCGGTTCGAAGGGTGGGGTAGCCGTTGTAACTATACTGAGACCGTAGAACTTATATCTCGAGGTGGGTGGCGCATTTACGTTGTAGATGTCTATGGGCTCCAGTAACCACTTAACAGCAGGTGGGCTGTGAGATCGTCCACCTATCTAAGCAATAAAAAAAAAAAAAAAAAAGTTTCTTTGTTGTTTTAATTGTGTAGAGCACACTTGAAAATAACTGGCAGATTGGCTGCATGTCTCTCTCGTATTGATGAGATTTTACTAAAACTAAAAAATAAAATAACCCTGGTGTTATTTTATTTTTTCATAATAATATATTTATTTTTAGATTTCTACGATGGATAAACTACCACAAAAAGTATGTCAGAAATGTGTAGATGTAATACAAGATGCAAATAAACTGAGAAATTTGGCTCTAAGAAATGAGTCTAATTTGCAATGCCTGTTTGGCGATGAAAGTAGGGATGAAATTACAGATGAGGTCTCTGTTTTATTATTTAATTTTTTTAATAATGTAGACAGGCAGGAAAGCTCTCTGTCTTTATGGTGATAAGTCAATACTGGAGTTCAAGGACACTATTAATATCACTGTCAATCAGTCAATCAAGGCTGAAATCTCAATTTCACAGACATTCTGACTCTACTGCCTATTAATGCAGAAAACATGATTGCTCTGTGAAAAAGTAACTACAATAGCACAATTGAGAGTTTTAAAATATACCTTTTATTTATAATCAGTTTTCATGTAATATTTAGTAATACCGAAACCGCGGTCATATCTTATTGTGCGGGACGACATGACACGCTATGATGTAACTATGTATGAGGATAGGTTCCGGTATCTGCTTAGTATCATGAGCACAGTGAGGTCATTCAGGCAATAAAAAAAATCCACCTGTCATTTTTAATTTGTCAATTTCAGCATAGCATGAGTTCACAGCACTACTGAGGTACTGATCATTGTTTTACAGAAATTGTTGATACAAACCCATAAAACCTAGAATCAACATGTTGTAAACTAATAATAATAATTAAATCTAAAATCTCAAGATGTGGTTATATATTTCAAATTATCTACTCAACTATGTCGTGTCAACTCAATGTGTCAATATGATGCTTCATAATTTTATTTAGAATGAAACATGGTCCAGAAATTTGTTTAGTCAAATTAGAATATTTTTTTTCAGTTGAATCAAATCAAGAGTCACATAGTGAATAATTTCAATGAAAACGAGTCAACAGTTGAAAAGGTTAAAAACAAAAAAGACAAAAGAAAAAATGAAAATAACTCTACACATCATCAGGTAATTGTGATTGATTTAAAATCGAAAACTAATAAATGGGAAACTTGCAGAAGTGTATCACAAAAATACATTTCTAAGGAACAAAAATTTTTGTTTTTCTACTCTCATATCAATGTTATGGAGCAGTTGACAGCCATTCTGGCTATGTACTATGGTATGGATAGAGAATTTAGTATTTATTTACCACACTTCAGGCACAAATAATTCTTCTATAAAGGCTTCAAATAATTCTGGGAACTCTCGGATCAAAATACTTTTCCCCTTTAACCATATTATTAAATCTGCAAAGTAGCTTTGCGGACAAAGTGAGTTTTACATGTATCAATGCTATTTATATTAAATAGGCATGTTTCTGACACAGAGAAGCAGTCTTGTGTCCTGATTTGAAGGATAGTACCACATTTACATAATTTTCGATCTTCCTAATCACAGGATCGCTCGGAACCTGTGGGTCTACAGAGAAACATTGGTTTTTTCTAAGTGTTTCGTACCCCTAGAGTGCTCTGAGGTAATTTTGGAGATGATGATGTCATTTTCACATAAGTACCAATTCTTGGAAGATGTCTTTCGAACGTAATAAAAAGATTCCTTTGTAATTCCTGATCACTCACAGTAAAGCTCGTGACATAAATATGAAAAATTCTCAAAAAAAAAAATGAATGTCCCATGTCACCTACCTACATCTAACAAAAGTTACAAATTATGAGAAGTGTCCTTGGATGAAAAAAAGAGAGGTGGTACAAACAACTGCAATGCACCATTACTTTGCAGTAAAAACATCAAGAAGATAGTTCCGAATCATGTGGATTTACAGTACGCCCTACCAGGACTCAGGGCAGGAATAATGCATAGTAACGAATAAAGAAATAAATAGGGATATAGACTAAAAATATACAACTATCTTGAAACTTAGTATAGTGGTTTAGATGCTTGGAGAGTTTAATGTTCGTCTTTACTGATTAACAAACAGACATAAATTATAATTATATTTTTTTTATAGCTTAGATGGGTGGACTAGCTCACAGCCCACCTGGTGTTAAGTGGTTATTGGAGCCCGTAGACATCTACAATTTAATACGCCATTCACATTGAGATATAAGTTCTAAGATCTCATATAGTTACAACGGCTGCCCTACCCTTCAGATCGAAACGCATTACTGCTTCACGCCAGAAATAGGCAGGGCGGTGGTACCTACCCGCGCGGACTCACAAGAGGTCCTACCACCAGTAAAAATATATAAATATTTTATTTTGCTTTTTTTAGCAAACGTTGCCGGAAAGAAATACTTCAAGGAACAAGACGAAATCAGAAACACATTTAAAGAGCAAGCGACAGCGTGACTCCGAAAATGAAGACGTCTTATATGTGTGCGGGGTGAATATCACATTGAATTTCATTGGAAATTATATAAAATCTATACATATAAATAAAATTGGAGTGTCTGTTTGTAATATTGAAATAGCCTATTTTTACTACATGCATATGAATATATCCAGTGGGCTTCAGTAACCACTTAACACCAGGTGGGTTGTGAGCTCGTCCACCCATCTAAACAATAAAAAAAATTATATATATACGGTACATACACCAAAATAACATTTTTTTACAATTTTTGTGTGTCTGTCTGTCTGTTTGTTCCGGCTAATCTCTCGAATGTCTGGACCGATTTTGACGGGGCTTTCACTGATAGGTAACTGATGATATAAGGAGTAACTTAGGCTACTTTTTTTAGACTAGCTTCGCCCCGTGGCTTCCCCCGCGGTATGACAATAACCGCGGATAAAATCGCGAGACTTGGCTATCAATAATCAAATTTTATGTTTCCGAAGCGAAGCGAGGGCGAGTCGCTAGTTTGTTATATATAAAATAGCTTACTTAGGTGAATAAGCGAGAGCTTATTATACTTGCTATCGAAAATTGTGATTACTGAAATAAGTCCAAAAACTTCTTTCTGTATGCCAGAATTAATTCTTGAACATGGTGTAATTAAATTAAAGAGTTCTGCAAAAAAATTTAGTAATAATGGAAAAGTGCAGTGCCCTAATGTTCATAGGCCATGACATGACTTGACAGCTCTTTATTAAGTGGACCTGGAATATAAAAAATACAAAAGTGAATTCCTGTAATACAAACCGATTCACGGTTTAACAGTAATCGACACAAGGCCTTTTAACTATATTTTATCTAACTCCACACACACTATACTATCACACAATGAAGTCTAAATAAATTAATCTGTTTGCATTTTTATTTATTGCTTAAATGGTTGGATGGGAACACTGCTCACCTGATAAGTGTTTACCGGAGCCCATAGACATCTACAACGTAAATGCTACCATCCACCTTGAGACATGAGTTCTACGGTCTCACTTTTAACTACGGCTGCCCCGCCCTTTAAACCGCAACGCATTACTGCTTCACGACAGAAATGAGCAGGATGGTGGTACTTACCCGTGCGGACTCACAAGACGTCCTACCACCTATAATGACGCACATTATAATTTGGTGGGTTTGATTTTTATTACACGATGTTATTCCTTCACTGTCATTGTCGAATTCAAAGGTGAACATTTGTTAAGTACGTATTTCATTGGAAAATTTTGTACCTGCCGGCGGGATTCGAACACCGGTGCATCGTTACATACGAATGCACCGGACGTCTTATCCATTAGGCCACGACGACTTGCGTTTTTTTCCCCCAGGATTGTAATAAAAACTTCGAGACGTGGAAGAAACTGTACCACCACCAGCGGTCGCACACCAAGAGCATGGCGTGTCCGCTGGAGGCCTGCGGGAAGGCGTTCGCAACTAAAGGCGATCTAGAGAAACACAAGCGCACGCATACCGGAGAGAAGCCTTACCAGTGCGAGATATGTGAGAAGTGTTACACACAAAGAGTCACGCTAAAAGTCCACAAGGAAACGGTCCATGGAGTGGAGGCTACCGCAGCGACCAGTCGGGACCATTCTAAACCGGCCAGTGGTCAAGGGACCACGAAACTTGGTGCAAAGTTAAAAAACACCTGAACTCTTTGGAGCCCTCCAAAGATATTGAGTCGATTTTGAAAAAACTCCTAAGAGTTGAATGTACCCCGAAAAATAAATGAAAATAATTTCGTTGCTATAACTTTAATTATGTCAGTGTTATCTAGTTATGAAAATCAATAATCTACGTAGCTCAAATCCTCTTAATCATGATGTGAAGGTGCGGGAAAAAATACACTGTAATCAACTCGTAACTTTGAGTTTTGTTTCGATCTTTTATAAAATAATTTATCTTTAATCAAAGGTTTTTTAGTGTACTTTGAAAATAACTGGCTACTTTGTGTATTCATTATTTTTTTAAGTGTATTTTAAGAGCACATTAAACTTATCAGTTTTCAACAAGAACCAGTCTTCAATCTCAGATATAATATTTTGACTTGTTTTACAAACTTTTCTAGGAAATCCGTTTATTGTATGAACATTTGTATACATGACTAGATTTTTAAAAAAGCCTCTATTTTTTATTTTACTTAGTATATTTTAGAATATTTTTAAAATAGAACTACTTTTGTAGTAGTGGACAGTGGCATGGCTTTGCCCGTGGCATGTCCATGAGCAATGGGAGCAATTACTATTGTGGGGGCCGTATGTATATCAGCCTACAAGGGCAATAAAAAAACTGCATCTCTAGAGATCATCTCTAGTTGCATTATTTATTTTCAAAGAAACGTTTTTTAAGCAAAGCTTGCTAAGATTTGAGGGATACACTTTCAAGAAATTCCCTCCTGTAGGTAGTATAATTCTCTCTGAAAAATCAAACATTGTTTTGCAAGTTTTTGTTAATTCGCTCTTTATTTCTGTTGGTGAATTGTACTTAATAATAAGGTAAATTATAAACAAAATGTTTAAAATTGTTCCGGAATCTGATGATATTGGAAGAAATGCGAAGAAATTGTCGATATCGATATATTACAAAAAAAAAATTACCTTTTGTCATTTCCAGCTCCGTCCGAATACTAGAACCATAGAAGCGAAATAAAAAAAATTATAATATTAAAAACATTTTTTAATTTTATTATTAATAGAAATATTCATGTACATAAATATTTACATTACGATACATATCGATAAATAAATTAAAATTACGCTATATCAAATTTACGGCTAACAATATAATGTTATGATATTTCATCATCGTGAAAGTCAATCGTGGACATGGTCGCATCACTAGTTGTTTTTTTTTATTACAAGCAACATTTTTATCCGTATTGCCACGCTTACAATTATTAAATAAACAATATGTTTTGTAACCCTTTTTGAAATAACTCCAAATTAGTACAAATTCTTGACGTCTACTTAGATACCAATATTAACAACAATATTATTTAAAGATAAGATACTAAAACACAGTTTGGTATAAATGGACGAGTTTGATTAGGAAAGCGCGCGCGCTATAGAAATAATTGCATTTTACCGAAGCCACAAATAATACGTTTGCATATCGATGGGTGAAGGCTATTTGGTTTAATCGCAAATTCTCTTAATACGCGGAATTTATCTTCGTAACTAAAGGCTTAAAGGTCCGTTTTATTCATTACTAGCGACCCGCCCTCGCTTCGCTTCGGAAACTGTAATTTATTATTGATTTCTCCACTATTTAATGAATGTTATTATACATGAGTCGTCTATTATCAAAGGTGGCAATCTGTGCATTTGGACAAAAATTTTTCATTGATATGTCAATACAGATTGATTTGAATATAATCGTCTCCTTCAAAGAATACGGTTCAAAACCTGCATTAAATAAAAGTTAATAGTTAACCTGTTATTTATCTAAGATGTCGTTAAGAAGAGTTTTGTGACTGCCAATGGAATACAAAGTCAACAATTCGTTTTTCTGATTTACCAATCATTGTCCAAAAGAAGTCAGATTGCCGGCTTTGATAATAGTCGACTCACATATAAACCAATCACTCTATCTATTAAAAAAACCGCATCAAAATTCGTTGCGTAGTTTTAAAGATTTAAGCATACATAGGGACAGAGAAAGCGACTTTGTTTTATACTATGTAGTGATCAGCATCAACAGTTCGATGTTTTTAATTGAACTTTATTAAATTTACTCCATTCGAATAGCTGGAGAAGCTTTTTTGTCACATATTTGACAATTTTTAAACTTTAAACGGCTTAAATTTAAAGTTGCAAAAATGTAGCTTAAACCAAACAGCCTCACGATATACCTAGTTTGCTGTAATAGGAAAAGTTTAGTTTAAATATCGACATATTATATTGGATATAATAAATAAAGAATCGATTAATGTACGTCATTATTAAGGCGGAAACACATTATCAAAACGCGACGCCACCCGATGAAAGGCGATGCGTGTTGAGTCGAATCAAATGTATTGTTTTTTATAGACCAGATTCACACTATAAACATCCGACGCGACGCCATGCGGCAGATACCATCCGATTCAAATGTGCCAGATCCATGTGTTCATAATACAGAAAAATTGGCTATAGATAAGCAACTCAAGCACTCAACGAAAATGTTTACGGGCGTCGGCCACTAGATGGCTTCTCTTCCATTAGTTTCTCATTGCTCCTGTAGATGGCAGTAACCTATTCTATATTTTATTTTTAATGAAGGATTTTGTAGATTTTCAGAAACCACAAATTGATAAAATTTAATCAATTTTAATAACAATGCTTTTTACAAACTTTTAATAACAAGCTTGTATGATTTTTTATTTTTTGTATTTAGTCATATAATAATTAAAAAGTTAAGGCACTTTAACAACATAGAAGTTTAGGAGTATCCGCTACAAGATATCGATAGTTTCCATACAAAAAATTTTTTTGTCTTATAGTATCGCAGTGGTTTGTTGCCCATGGTGGGGCTAAATACGCCATCCGACGCGTAGCGCGCGGTATATTTCTAGACAACACCCAAAGCCACGCGTCAGTCGTTCGAAAACTGTCACAGAGCATATACCCATTCTTTAACCCCATCCCTATTCTTCACACTGTCAAACAGAATTTATGCCAATTTAATATTATTTTCCGCATTTATTTGGCGTTTAGCACTTAAAATGACCGACGAACAGTTAATTGAGTTGGTAAAACGATATCCTGTTCTATATGACATTAATTTAGCTATATACAGGGATCATACAACGAGAAATAATGCATGGGAATAAATTGCCGAGCAAATGAATATAAACAGTAAGTTTTATTGAAAATATTATTTATTACCTTAAAAAAACAAATTGATATTGTATACGCCTATATAGTTGTGGTAACTTTTGTGAGAGCTATTTATTAAATCCATAGTACACAACTATACATTTCCACTGCTGTTAGCTGTTTTCACTACAGATTGCTGCTATGTCGTGGCGTCGCGTGTTGGTAATGTGCACGGTGTAAATCGGGTGTCGACACGTTGCGTTACGTCGCGTTTTAACAATGTGTTTCCGCCTTTAACCTTCACCACACCTACGACTGGACATCGTATTCAATATGGTTGTCAAATCGAAGCGCCTTAGTTCACTATAATACGTTACCTTAAAATCTAGTTAACTACAGTCTTTATCGGATCACAGTTTCAATGGAAGGCGTACATGAGCAAGAGGAAGGTGCAGACCGCTACCACCACGCCCACGATTAGGGAATCGCGACGCTTCCTAGCGTTTATACGGAACATCAGACTGTTCAACATCGGGAATCTGGGGACGATCGAATTATCATTACAGTACAGATACAGTGTAAACTCGAACTGAACAGTTCAGTGTGCTTAGTGCGAGTTTTTTAACGTTCTCGATCGCGTAAAAGTTTGCCCAATTTTGTATGCAGTTGGAACAGCGCCCCTAGCGGTAAACGTAGGCAAACGTTCCAACTCCATAAAAATATGAGCTAACTTTTACGCAATCGAAAACGTTACAAAACTTGCACTAAGCACACTGATACAGATACAGTGTCAACTCGAACTAAACAGTTCGAGTTTTTTAACGTTCTGATCGAGTAAAAGTTGAATGAATGAATGAATAAAAATTCTTTATTGCACAAAAATATTGTACAAAGGTGAACTTAACGCCATGCAGGCATTCTCTTCCAGTTAACACTCGTTGATGAAGTGAAAGATTCAATAAGTGCGTAATTGTGTTAAAGTTAATACATGGCGATAATTTGAAGAATTATAGTAGACATGAGTAAAATGAACACTAGGTTTATATGTAAGTTAACTCAAATTTTTATGGAGTTGGAACGTTTGCCGCTAGGGGGCGCTGTTCCAATTGCATACAAATTTGAGTTAACTCTTACGCTATCGAGAACGTTAAAAAACTCCCACTAACACACACTGAACAAGTTTTATATTACTTTTGGTAGGACGTCTTGAGAGTCCGCACGGGTAGGTACCACCGCCCTGCCTATTTCTGCCGTGAAGCAGTAAGGCGTTTCGGTTTGAAGGGTGGGGCTGCCGTTGTAATGTAAATACTTGAGACTTAGAACTCATGTCTCAAGGTGGGTAGTGGTGTACGCGTTGTTGATGTCTATGGTCTTCTATGTGAACGGACCCTTATCCGTTAGACCACAAGAACTTAAAAAAAAATCTGTATGTATGTACATGTGTGTAAGTTCATCTAAAACTCGAAAAACATTATTCTAATCGATATGAAACTGCACACATTTATAAGTCGACATGACCAGTCCGACGAACAAAGTTACATTAGTGACGGATAGGTAGCGCTGGAGACAGTGATTTCTATCTTTTTTAACCATAGGTCGAATTGATATGAAATTCACTTATAAATATATAATTCTACTGTACGTGTGTATGTCACTGAACTCTTAAACGGCTGGACCGATTTGAATGATTTTTTTGTATGCGTTTATGTGGCGCCCCGGATGGTTTAGATTCACAAATCAGCCCGACAGATGGCGTTGCTGTCAGTATCTAGGTTTTTTATATATACTGCAATTAAACGGCTGGATCGACATGAATGAATTTTTTTGTATGCATCATTCATTCATTTCATTCATTTTGTGTGTGCAGAACCACGTCTGTCGGGTCTGCTAGTATTTACGAGTATATATAAGAGAATGTATGTGTGTGTGTGTGTGTGTGTTCACCTGAAATTATCTAACATAGTTAGCTTCCTGAATTGTCTTATAGCTTTTATGTTTTAATATGAAAATTGTTTTAACATTTATTTACCTGTTAGCGATATCGTTGAACCTGGTCTGCATCCGTTTGAAGGTTTGTCGTTGCGAGGAGAGGTGGTCGCGAGCTTCCATCGCTATGTTTATTTGTTCATCGACTAATATGTGGGAACTGAAATGGGAAAACGACCAAATTAATACTCTGGCCAAACAAAAAAGAAAGACAAATACTAAATGTTCAGTTCTAAGAATCAAAATCAAGAGCTGTTCCGAATGTCTATTCATCGTCTTTTTATTTATTTATTGCTTAGACGGGTGGACGAACTCACGGTCCACCTGGTGTTAAGTGGTTACTGGAGTCCATAAACATCTACAACGTAAATACCGCCGCCCACCTTGAGATATGAGTTCTGAGCGGTCAGTATAGTTACACTACTCATTAATATGTAATACGCAGTAATATTCACTGCGCTACTGGTGTAGTAACACTATGACGCACTTTAATCTTCACTTAGAATTGTTTTCTGGTATCGTTTTTTGCGCTTGAATTTAAATTTATTAACTAAACACGTGTCTTATTAATCCTTGCTCGATATAGATTTTTTTAAGGAATTTTAGACCTGGTAACTAAGACCTTTAAGTCATGTCTTATTTTAATTTATATTCTTATTAATATGAAAATTGATTATATGGAGTTAAATGAAATGAAGAAAATGAAGCGAATGACTGGGATAATTAATTTCTTAAATTAATCATCCCAGTCATTGAATGTCAAAGTCAAATTAAATGAAATGAGATGAGATGATATGGGATGAAATATAATCTCAGTAAAATGGTGGTCATTTACTGAGATTTTTTCAGTGCACTTTTTGGAGGAACCCGAGAACAACGGTTTTGTCTCTTTGGTGGCTTTATGCACTTTCACAGATATTGAACAGTTAATAAACCACCATTAATTCACATTTAAGCCCGAAGAAACACTAAATAGATAAAATAAAACAAATCAAAACGACTTCACTCCTCGCGTTACCGCCAAAAAGTCCCTCGATATAGAGACAACAAAGGCATAGAATATACAAAAAAAGAAAAACCGTATATCACACCTGTGCAAATGGTTGGCTTCCTTCGCGTACTGGTCGCGTCTGCTGAGTCCCGCGGCGGGCGGAGTCGGGGAGCCGCCCCGAAGCAGCTCCTCGCGCTCGCGCCGCGCCGACACGCGGGCTGACGTGCGGGAGTACTCTTGCTGGTAGTCCTGCGAAATTATGGTTTGATACGACGCTTCAGTCACACGTACGTTTTTACTGGTGGCAGAACCTCTTGTGGGTCCGCACGGGCAGGTCCCACCAGGTATTTTAGCCGTGAAGCAGTAATGCGTCGATTTGAAGGGTGGGTCAGCCGTTGTAACTTACGGTAGGCGGCGGCTTGACTCTGCCCCTGGCATTGCTGAAGTCCATGGGCGATGGTAACCACTCACCATATCAGGTCGGCCGTATGCTCTCTGCCTACTAAGGCAATAATAAAAAAAATTTTAGACCTTAGAACATGGGCAACAACCGGCTCGCGAGACTTTTTGAAAAAACCCAACGCGAGATCTCATAGAACGCGAGGCCTACTATAACGCGTTGCCCTCTGTAACCTGGGACCTCATACAACGCGAGACCTCATACAAAGCGGAACCTCATACAACGCGGGACCCCATTCAATGCGAGACCTACTACAACGCGAGACCTCATACAACGCGGGACCTCATACAACGCGAGATCTCATACAACGCGAGATCTCATACAACGCGAGATCTCTTACAACGCGGGACCTCATACAACGCGGGACCCAATACAACGCGGAACCCCATACAACGCGGGACCTCATACAACGCGGGACCCCATACAACTCGGGACCACATACAACGCGAAACCTTATACAACGCGGGACCTCATACTACACGAGGCCTACTACAACGCGAGACCTCATACAACGCGGGACCTCATAGAACGCGGGACCTCATACAACGCGGGACCTCATACAGCGCGAGACCTCATACAACGCGAGACCTCATACAACGCGAGACCTCATACAACGCGAGGCCTACTACAACGCGAGACCCATTACAACGCGAGGCCTACTACAACGCGAGGCCCACTATAACGCGAGGCTTACTGAGGCACTCTGCGGCGCTCCCGTTTGGTGCCGCAGAGTGTTCGCAGTGTGCAATGGCGGTCAGGACGCCATGACACAGCGGATCACACATTGGCGTGCTGCACTAGATTCGAAGAGTTTGAAAAGTTTGAAAATGCAGAACTATGATACGTGAGAGTTTACAGTGCCCCTACTATCAGTAAACTGAGAGCTCTGCTGCTCATTATCTGGTGAATACTGTAGACTCCTATTCCAGGTTGACACCATATAGGCAAAATTACATGAAACTTTTCCGGGGTTTGAATTCTCCAGGCACAATTCTATCTATTTCTGGAACAAAGCAGTCAAGAGTTTTTACTGACAGGCTTCTCTACTAACGTCATTCACATAATGCTTCGTATGGTTTTAAGGTGGGTGGCGCATTTACGTTGTAGATGTCTATGGGCTCCAGTAACCACTTACAGCAAACAGGTCACGAGCTGGTCTTCCCATCAGCAAGAGTAAAGTAACCTATTTTTTGATATTGTGTACATGGGTGTATCATTTAGTAATCAAATAAACATATAAATACAAACTTCTACATTCATAATACATATTTATTAATAGAGATAAGTTAAGCAAATTTGACAGCGTTTTTAGTTCCATTTTTATCCTAATGTCACAGAAGGTACATTGAAAGTCTCCAATTAAGATACCAAACCAATTAATTAATTTATTTAATTTTAAACCAATTAATTCATATTAATTAATACATGTATACAAACCATTAGTATTTCTCTGTGCCGTTTGATTGTGTGCATTGTGGCTGCTCCACTTGGGGCTATGTCGGCCATTTTGTCATTTATTGATGATAACTGGGAAATTGGAATTACATTATCCATAAACAAGTATTAAGATGGTATCTGATTAAATTGATGTTTAGTTTTGTTACTTAGATGTCTTAATAGTAACAAACATCTCATTGTAAGCTCACAGCTGTATTATCTATGTTTTCACATATATTTCTATAAATAAGCTAGTAAAAAGTTTATTGGATGTGAACAGTGCAAGACATGTCATTGTAGTGATCCTTCAAAGAGGTCAATGATTTCATGGATGATGATAATTTACTTTTTGTATTCATTGCCAACTGCTGCATTATATTTTATTAAAAACGAACCATTGCCCTCTATGATTTATATAAGAATCAGACAAACAGATAACTGACACTTGACTCACTTTGGATCACTTTGGATTTTGTAAAGACTAGTTAGCTAATTTAGACTATATATAACAATTACCTGATTAAGTAGCTGCTGCAGCTCCATAGACATGGTATCAAACATATCATCACTGTTTATGAGAGGGGCAGTCTCTGAATTAATATTGGCCGAACCTGAACTGATACCCAGTTTGCTAAATGCGACAAGTTTCACATCTATGTCATTTTCTAGGGTCCGAGCTTGCCTTCTTAGCTCTGAAATAAAAAAGGGCATACATGTCATACACAATACATAATTAAAATAATTTTTACGGCTCAACCACACATTTTTTATTAACATTATATAATTTCCTGCATTTTGAATACTTTACAGTTTTTGTTATCTAGTTTCAATTTAGATTAAACCATTTTGGAGAATATACGACGGAGGGAAGATCTTCCACCGAGCGGGTGATATTGCTCAGTAGACCAACGGTCTGAATTCTGTTGTTCGGAACTTGTATATATGCAAGCTTATCTTGAGAATGTCGTAAGCGAGATTCAGGCATCTGTCAAATATCCTGCATTGTATGATGGCTACCCGCCACACCGTAAATGTTATTTTAATTATTTCTTTGAATTGTAAAAACAAATGAAAATTTATAATACAATATGCTCAATATCTACAAAATAATGTAATGATGTGTTTTATATCATCACAGAGATAGACAACTAAAGTATGATCTATTACACCAATCATATTACCTTTGATAATAATTTTTAAATATTTTCCGAATATCTAAATTATTAAGTTATTATTATTTATTATTATTAATAAATAATGACACCATAGGCATAAGATAAAATAATACCAGGAAAAGGTTAACAATAACTCATAAACTTAAATACCAACAGTCATATTCAAGTATGAAGACTATAATTTATTCTTATTACTTATTTTATTGATGAAAAACACAAATATCACATTTTAGCTATCACTTCAATATGTGTGGTTATCGTTATAGTGGTACTATAGTATTGAATAAAACAAATGTCTAACATTATTAGATAGATAAATAATATTCTTAGTGCATGGGACCTGTATGACACATTTGTCTTGTTAATCTCTAAACTAATTAATCTCCAACCTTCTTTCATGGTGACAAGTAATTTGTATGTGACCACTTCTTCAAAATCATTGTTCTGTGAGGCATCTTGTTTTTAGTACAAACTATGTATTTTAGTAATGTACTTTGGCTAATACATTCCGTTTTATTTAAATTAAAACAATAAAATAGTGCTGATAGTAGATCTATTGTTAAAGGACCACCTTAGCGAGCACTAAAGGATTATTTGTTCTTTAGTAGCTGATGGTAACGATCTAAATAAAATATTATGTACTGTTTATAAACAAACATGACAACTCAATGTTGAATAAAACGAAGATGTTAAAATGTGTTTAATTTTTAATAAATATTGTAGTTTTTGTGTTAATTGACTTGTAAGGGGTTCGTTCAAATTTAGTTCATTTAATAAAGAACTTTGCAACGTCATAACTTAACCGGTGAATGTTTCAATGATCAAGATAATGTAATCTTACCTTCCCATGGTGCAGTTATAGTAGACATTGCTGCTAATGTCAATTATCTTCTAGAATTCTGCTGCACTTCTATTTCGACAACTTTAGTCTTGTTTTTATTTTCAACAGAAAATTGCAAATTTTCGAAGTCCAATGTATTTTTGACAGTATTTTTATATAGTTAGGTATGTACCTGCCTTTCATATAATATCTATGGTATAATATAAGAGTTAGCTCAAAATGTGTTGCCATATATTCCAATGAAAGAATTTTAATTCAATCTTTTAAAAAATATTTGTGACCTACTCCTATTTTATCTAGCACCCGGTATTTTTTGATTGCTTAGATGAGTGAGCGAGCTCACAACCCCCCCAGTTATTAAAGCCCGTAGTTATCTACAACGTTAATGCCGTCACTCGCCTTGCAATAAGAGGTCTAGTCTCAGTTTTTACAGTACAAGCAACGGCTGCCCCACCGCTCAAATCGAAACGCGTTATTGCTTCACCGCAGAAATAGGCAAGGTGGTGGTAATGTTTGCTAAATTTACCACCGCATCGCTTAATACGAGTGCACCGGACGTCCTATCTACGCCGCGACGACTTCAACCGTATTTTTTAATTCCAACTTGGCGAGTATCTTTATACATGAACATATAGGACTAACCGTTAGCATTTTACCTATGATTTGCTCTTAGTGACTTTAATGTTTCAAACACTACCAATTTCAGTCTATAAGTGACATGAAAATCTAATGAATACTCGAAGTTCATAAAAGGTGGCAACTACAGGTCAGAGCCGTACAGATAATCACTGCAAGTCAATGTCACTTGTCATCAAAATTAGAGCTGCAATCATCAAGACCGCATTTCCAGAAAAAATAACTGATAAAAATTCACAGTATCATAGTTATCATTTTGTTTTTCTTCTAGTATCTAATCAGAATAATTAAACTATTACAAAAGTATTACGTAAAAGAAAAGAGCGGAAACTGCTTTATAGTTAATACACTCAATACTGAACGGCTTTATCGTCTGACTGTCGAAAGAACTAGATCCTGACTTTTGGCAAGTGGCAGTTGATCTCGACTAGTGATGGAAAATTACAACCACTGTTATTAACTTTTAAGAAACGCAAAAAAGAAAGCTGTGATAAAATTAGCTTTCACTATTTCTTTCAGTGGATCCAAGTATATATTAAAATTGCTAAAAATATGAAGAAAATGAAAATGCGAAAATAATACTCATTATATTGTATTATAAAACTGGGTTTAAGTAGGTATTTTTGTAATTGCACCGAATTACTAATCATCCATCAGTATTACAGAGGGCTCTGGCATTGACTTTTTTCTACCTGTTCTAGTACCTAATCTCAAGGGGTTATTTTAGATTCACTGAACTAGTAGGTGAGCTAACAGGGCTCAAACCTGACGTCGTTGCTAACACTAACTAGCAAGAGCAGTGCTTCTCATAATCTACTACCGGATCGGAAACGCGACCCACTGAGAAGATCCGGCGAGAAACAAAATGGGCTGTGTCTATGGGTTAATTTACTCGCTGAGCCCTTCGTCACAAGCGACGGGTTCGACGAGAACGATGACCGGTCTGGTATGACGGGAAACATTAAAATGTGATTTTACACTTTTTCGTGATAGTTGGTATTCGTTTTCGATTCAAATGCCAGCAAGCGGTTCTTTATAAAACTTTATTTTCTCACGTCTTTACGCTTGTATATCACTTCTTCAGGAGAAAGAAAGGATGAGATTGGCTTTTATTTTGTCAATGTATACGACGTTATCGGCAGCCAGTGGCTTGGCTACTTCCCTGGTATTATTAATATCCAACCACTTACTACCAGGTGGATATGTTCGCCTATTTACGTCATAAATCATAAAAGCTAAGGTATTGATTTTGTTCACTTTTCTGACATTAATTGAAAGAGTTAGATGAATAAATAAGATCGAATAACCGTATTCAGTAAGCATAAATAATTTCAGGGAGGTTGTCCTAATTAATTGGTGTTGGCCGAAATAATAAAGTTACTGAGTATTTAAGTATTACTGGCATTACCCGAGCGTTTTGTAGAGTTGCACCAACTCGTACTTTTAGGTATTGGGTGTACAAATACGGATTTTAAATAAGAAAATCTACATAACGAAAAACGATATGTACTAAATCAGTATTGTTGATTTATTAGAAATTATCTATGTATGTAACTTTTCGAATACGATTTAAATATAAACTTAAATATGACTATCCTTTTCTAACAAATATTGAGATGTGAGACGCTAGGTGATTTAGTCTGATTTTCAATGAAATTAGAGTTAAAGTAGGTATAATTTTATTTATCAAATTTAAGTTACGTACAATTGTACGTAAACTTAAAACGATATAAATGAAATAAAAATTCGATTTGTTGTACTATCACAGAAGTTACTCAGGTAGTTCCTACGAACAAAAATAGATCTTATGACTATTTCGACTCCGACTACTAATTTATATTTTAAGCTCATACAAAGAATACCCATCCTTGTTTCAACTGAATAAGGATCACGTAGGTGCAGCAAAATAGGATTCTGTTTTCTCTAAGCGGATCGAACAGGGTCTATGTCTATCTCTCTTTTTCTTAACTAATATTCAATATCAACACAAGTTCTATCTTGCTCACTCAAGTGTTTCATCATTCCACCCATATTGAATGTAGCTGTCTTTCTTTCTTTGTAATCCAGTTTCGCAACTGTGCAGTGTTGTGTTGTGAATTAAACATAAAATGTTCTTGCTTTCACTGAAAATGGGCAGATTTTTCAATACTCAGTGCTTTTTGTGATATAGAAATAACGCCACGGCTATTTTCATTAAAATTATGACATCAATAATGTTGTAGTATAACAAGGACAAAAACAGCTCAAGCTGACTGCTGCCCAAAATGGCCACGTTCAATAAAACACAGAATTTAAATTTCGAAAAAATATGCCGTGCTTGTTTGCAGATAAAAAAGGATATGAGGCCTTTATTCGAGCAATTAACCGCCACAATGTTGATGGGGATATCAAAAATTCAGGTAAGGAAGACATAACTTAATTTGAAAATCAAAACATTTCTGTCTCACTTGCACTTGTGTTTCAGACGTATAGTTTCTGTCGCGCCATTCGTCCTTACATCGCGTCATCTTTGTTCAGAAGTCATTCGTGATGAACAATTTCGTAAACCCTGAAGCAACTGCTTCATTCTAGAAATGACGAAACGATTCTGTCCTCTTCTATTGTACGCACTATACGCAAAACGCATGAGATAACAGACTCGAATTTTGTGGAGGGCTGGTGACATCAATGGAAAGTAGAATTTCTATATTGTCATCCTTTATCTTCTAGTTTGAGAATGGATATGGGCGTTTGTTTACCTACTAATTTATCATACCTACTTTCCCAACCACATAAATGCCCTTGGATATACAATCACAAATAGGGACACAATTAAAATGAGTCGTACATACACACGCAAAAATTTCAAGGTCATAACAAAATATCAAGTTGTTAGAAAATAATAGCCTAGATAGCACGAATGAAAATAAGAGAGGGGTTTTATGTTGCGACTTTAAACGCATATCACGAGGCTTTTATGACAAATTATTTGTATTAGGGTTCCGTGTTTAAGAGACGGAGAGCTTTTTTTTTAAGTCATGTTTAGTTTTGTTTGATTTAAACCAGAGTAAAAAAATTAATGTATGAAGTACCTAAATATTGATTTACTCTCGTGAAACAAACTGAGTTGGCCTCCTAAGAACTCACCTAAACATCAGCCCGCTGAGATTCTCGCCGGATCTTCTCAGCGAGTCGCGATTCCAATCCGATTCATTCGCGAAGCAACTGCTCTTGAGTTGTTCGGTCTCCTTTGGAGGCGCTCGGGTAGCTGTTAGCAAATGCCACCCCTCCTGGCTGTGCCTTTGCTCGCCCACCTGCCCTGGTGAAACTGGAAAGGCCTCCGGGCCAACAGTAATCCCTCAAATATAAAAAAAATGAAGGTCGTGGTTCTGGGAAATCTTCTCGAAAATAATAATAATTGTACAATATATTCATATAAAAGCTGTAATTTTCAACCAATTATTCATGTTAAAAGTGCGAATGCTGATAAGTGTCTCAAAGAAATGATAGAAGAAGATAGAAGTAGTCCACGTTTGACTTCCACGGTGAAGGAATAACATCGTGTAATGAAAATCAAACCCGCAAAATTATAATTTGCGTAATTACTGGTGGTGGGACCTCTTGTGAATCCGGACGAGTAGGGACCATCACCCCGCTTATTTCTACCGTGAAGCAGTAATGCGTTTCGGCTTGAAGGGTGAGGTAGCCGCTGTAACTATACTGAGACCTACGATGAGGCTACAGAACAAATCCTCAATTGCAGAAATAAGTTCGGGTTGGTACCTGTTAGTGTAGAGTAAGTAGTCGCAGCCTAAATGATAAACCGCTCAGTGTTCTTGTAGCTAGCGATGAAACTATGCCGGTGTTCGAAATCCGCAGGCAAGTGTCAATTTTTCTAATGAACGACGTACTTCGATGTTCACGAATAACTTCAACATTAAATAAGTTTTCAATCGGCAAAAAATAGTTTTTGCGTAATTCCGTGACGGTATTGCCTGGGGCGGTTTGACGAGCTTGTTTTGATGAGGTTTGCTGAGATGCGGTTGACATAGAGTCGTCGACTGATCGCCTAGACGATTCCATAGGTCAGGCGTCCTTGTGGAGAGCTGCGTGTCTGGATATAGTGTTGACCGTCAAATCAACCCCTACTTTCTGTCTTGGACTTAGAAGTCGTGTGGTATTAAACTCAGGTGAGCCGCGAGCTCTTTTTCTGCTTAGTTGGGTGTACGAGCTCACACCCCACTTGGTGTTAAGTGGTTACTGGAGCTCATAGACATGTACAACGTAAATGCGCCACCCACCTTGAGATATAAGTTCTAAGGTCTCAGTATAGTTACAACGGCTGCCCCACCCTTCAAACCGAAACGCATTACTGCTTCACGGCGGAAATAGGCGTGGTGGTGGTACCTACCCGTGCGGACTCACAAGAGGTCCTACCACCAGTAAATCACATATTACAACACACAATTTATATCACAACTTGTGGTCCTTGTTTTTCTTATGACCAAATTGCCGTAGGATATTAGTTTTTACCAACAGGAGTTGAACCCTTGCATAGTCAAATCTGGTGATACAAATAAACCAGAGCCTTCCTCATTATACAACGAACTTACGATAATTCATATGTGACGTCACAGGTGGCGGTAGGTGACGGTCTGCCCCCGCAGCTGTGCTTGCAGTGCGTCCACCAGATATCCCGCTGTCACGCCTTCAAGGATTTGGTCGAGCGAAATGACGTCACTTTACGAGAACAATACGCCAGGCACCTGGCCGAAGAGGCCATTAAAAGGGAGAACGAAGAGGTAAGATAAATTTTACGTTTCGTATTCCGTAATGCTGTCGTAGTTTTTTTTTATTGCTTAGATGGGTGGACGAGCTCACAGCCCACCTGGGGTTAAGTGGTCACTGGATGCCCTAGACATCTACAACGTAAATGGGCCACCCCCCTTGAGATATAAGTTCTAAGGTCTCAAGTATAGTTACAACGGCTGCCCCACCCTTCAAACCGAAACGCATTACTGCTTCACGGCAGAAATAGGCAGGGTGGTGGTACCTACCCGCGATGACTCTCAAGAGGTCCTACCTCCAGTAAAAGGTTGAAGGGCCACGGTGGATTTTTTTTACCTATTCTAGTACCCTTGAAGGGTTATGTAGACCGAGTAGGTAAGCTCACGGGCCCTAACCTGAGGACGTTGCTAACACTAGCCCTAGCAAGAGCAGTGCTCCGCAGAATCTACCATCGGATCGGAAAGATGATGATGAGAAGATCCGGCGAGAAACTCAGTGGACCGTTATCACCGCATACGTAGGAAACAACAGGGGTACAGTCAAGCCGTAGCTGTACCTTCGTGGAGTGATCAAATCTCGCTTAAACAAGGGCAAATGATATCCTGTTAGGGCAGAAAATGGCGAGTTCATTCCAGAATCGAATGGAACGTGACACATACGATGTCTGAAAAGAGCATTGTAGATATTAAGATCATTAGTCCCTACGAGGGAATAAAAAATTTTTGATGATGCATATGGAATATGAACGGAATATCAATGAGTTTTCGCCCATTGTTGTTCCGAGACCAGGTACCTAAATATTATAGGGCTTGACGGAGACGTTTAAAAATTACTTTTGTGGCGGGTAGTCATTCTAAGTAATATACAGATGTCTGAATATTGCTTACGAAATTTTCAAGATAAGCTTACATTGATAAGCTTGCATTGAACACGCTTCACACGGACACGGCCTTTTAGCCATTATCAGATTATTTCTTGAAATACCTATATCAAAAGTTTTAATGCTACTTTCTTCGCAGAAAGAGAAGCTCCTAACGATGACCGACCCTACGTATATATCCCTAACGACGGATAACGATCCACTGACGAACCCAAATCAACTGTTGGAAGGATTCTTCTCGACATCAGAACATCATAATTTAGAGGAGATTGTCACAACCGAAACCTTTGAAGTTGTAAAGGTAAGAGATCTCGCAGCATCTATATCCCGGAGAATCGATATCTTGAACTCACCGACTCTATCTGTATGTATATGATATTGTTGTAAAGCGCTCTGGTTATGTGGATGCATCATTGACCCTTCGACTGCCATGTAGATCACATGTCGTCTTCTCGCATTAAAACTGTATACAGTCAAACCTGGGTAAGTGAGAAACTACAGGTGGGAGTAATAGCCAGGACCCGTCATTTTAAGCTCCTAAAACCTCTATTAGCGAGAAATAGAAACCTCTGTAAGAGAGAGTCGTTTTTCCCTCATAGACCTCCGTAAGTGAGACTGCTACTTGCCTATACCTCTATAAGCGACAGTCGAGCTTTATTTATTTATATTATTTAGGAGGAACAAAATAAATGACAAAATAAATTACAAATTTAGCATCTGCTATTTTATGACTCATTCTTAACTTTTGTGGAACTTCCTTCCATTGTTTTTTTTGGTCAATATTGAACCTATTCTATTTCGTGGAACTAAATAACGTTGTGATTTTATCGCATTCTTTTCGAATGGACATATTATGTGCCTGTGTACCGTCCTGTTTGTCGGACTTACTCAGTTTATCGTTAATCAATTGCGAAGGAAAGTTCTATTCTGCATAATGTCAAAACGGAAAATTAAAGTACTGCCATTAAGTGATAAACTTAAAATAGTGAATGCGTTTGAATCCGGAAAATCGCGAAATGAAATTCAGAGGGTGCATTAGCGAGAAACTCGGATTAGTGAGAAACCTCTTTAAGCGAGAATGAGATTGTGCTCCCTTGAACTCTCGTTTATCCAGGTTTGACTGTAATCTTAAAACTTACTAATTTTACAGGAATTTTAAAAATTTAACATGTGATATTTTTAATATTAATCACCTTTTCAACGTATTTTTTACCAGTTACATTATCTGTCTTTTAAAGTAAGATAAAATTATGTATTAATTTTGTTAATAGTAGAAAAAACATAGGTAAACTAAAAAAAATACTAAAAGTAAACTACGCTGTTTTGACAGTATTTATGAGAAAAATACTGGTGATACCAAATGATTCCGCATATCAACTCAATTTCGAATATTTTTGGAAATTGTACACTTTTAATGCTAAAAGATGATGTGTCCTACGCGGCGCACAGAAGTAATTATGTCCACGATATAATCGAAATGCACATAATAACTTCAGTGCGCCGCGTCGGGAACAGGTGACTTACATGACATTCAAAGGGTTAAAAAAAGATGTGTGGTGACGTAGGACACCGGATAAGAAAGAAGTTCCTTATTATAAAAATATTAATTTTAAGTTCTATTCGAGGAATAAAGAAAATAAAACCGGAGGTTTCGCAACAACCCACAGTCATGCATGTGGTAACGTGCGAACTTATTGTGGTACACTTCATTCACGGTTGATTGCATAAGAGTTAGTGTATTGCGCAAACGAACGCTCTGAGATCGTGGTCAATGAATGATAAAGAAATATGTTATTGTTTGTACGTTATTACAAAGTTAAGTCGTACACTGTGTACATTACTAATAAAAATCTTACGTTACGGACGTTTTTTCCCGGTTAGGGTACCCCTCCGCATCATCCCATAAGGAACTTCGTTCCAACAAAACAAACCATTATGAAATATTAATAGTCTCTAAACTTGTTTAAGACTGATTCGGAGCCTCCGCCACCGACGAAAGACGACAGCGGCTTGAACTCCGACGAGGAGAACTACCTTCAGATGGTGGTGTTCCAAGCGACCTCAACGGTCACGCCGGGCCGGCACGTCTGCAACCTGTGCCACAAGGAGTTCAAGCACTCGCGTTGGCTCAAACAGCACATGAGGTCGCACACGAACTGGATCCGCGCCAACTGCAAGAAGCCGCCCATGTGCACGATATGTGAGAGAACTTTTAAGGTATTCATTATTTTATATCTATACGTACCGACCGACAATTTAAATAAATAATAGTTTAAAAAAACTAACAATAATACTTTTTTTTTTTTAAATCCATTTTTTTTTTAAATATTGAATTGTCATCGGTCCTTAATAAGTATACCAAATTTCGAGTTAATCCGACGTTTTAAAGGGGTTCAAAATCATGTTCAAATATTCCGTTACAAACATACATACGTCTGGAGCTAATAAAAACATATTAAAAAAGAGTTTTATTTACGCTCTTTTTTAATTATTTTTTTATGTTGTATGCTTTATCGTCCTAAACTAGTTTTTCAAACAAAATTGCCTAGACCACACTTACTTAAAAAAAAAAAAGTTTACTAAATGGAAAAATATTTTAATAAAAAAAAATGGGAATGGAATTTTGTTGATATTAAAGCTTAGTACTTTTAAAGTAATATCTAGTGATGATAGACTATATTATTAGATCGTGTTACTATATTCTGCATGTTTCTATGAGTATAAACCATCTGTTTCGGTTCGAAGGGTAGGATAGTCGTATTGTTGAAACTCAAGGTAGAGGGTGACGTTTTTCACCTCTATCCTTCATTTTCTCATCAGGGTCCGGGGATGTTGAAGATGCACATGCGCACGCACGAGGAGCGCCCGCCCAAGCAGCCCACCTGCTCCGTCTGCCAGCGGACGTTCGCAACCAAAACCCTGCTGTACCGCCACCGGCAGACCCACTTCGAGCCCAAAACCCACCAGTGCACGGTCTGCGAGAAGAGGTTCTACAGCGGGTACGCGCTCAGGTCGCACATGGCGCGCCACCGCGGCGAGAGGCCCTACGTCTGCTCCATGTGTAACAAGAGCTTCTACAATCCCACGGATTTGAAGGTAGGCCGCAATTTTGACAATTTTATTCGTTGTATTTGGCATGTGCTCATTTATATACTTCTAGTTTTTCACTAAATCTTACAAGTCATTACAGATCCTCACGATCTATTAACGGTGCTTTTAGGTACCTCAGGGCTCGACGAGTAAATTAACCCATAGACACAGCCCACTGAGTTTCTCGCCGGATCAGTATAGTTAGTCAGTTACTCAGTATAGTAATAATATAAAACTTTAACAAGAAAGAAAATACTCTTCATTGAAATAAATTTAGAATATTATTAGTGTAGTTGATTAAACTTGCCTTAATAAGGATAATTCAAAAACGACTAGTCAGATCATGATTAAATTTAATTAAATGAGACCGCATGAGAAGCATTAACGTTCAAATAGAAAAATAATCAGTAAAATCGATTCGTCTAGACCAGTGGTCGGCAGTCTCTTTGACTTTTGACTCCTCGGCTATGATTTCGGCCACGGAATATTTCTTAATATCTTGCCCTGAAAGAGACGAGTAAACATTTTTGAAACATAAGGCTGATAAAAATTATATATAAAATAAATGGCTCTTTAAATAAATTTCAATTGTGTGTTATCTTTATTTGGCTCTATTTGGTTGGTTACGCCCTTCTTGTCCGTCTCTGTTTTTTAAGTCAGGTAAATGATAATAGCACCCTTCTCAGGAATATATCTGTAAATTTGATTAAACATTGTGAATATCGTTTACTTATTATATAAAACGGACTCATATTTAAAAACAAACTTCAAGTCACACACCAAGTAACGAACAAATGGGGGTTTTTAATATGCATTACGTATAATCGAAATATTAATCTGACTCAGTGGATAAAGTCCCACATTTCATTTTCATGAATTTTTTGTCCTCCATCTGTTTAACTTTGAACGCTTCCCTGAAGGATCTCCTGGATTTATCCGATAAGTACTCTGGGAATTCGACGCGGAACCGTATGATGAGGTTGCCCTTCGCTTTGTTAGGACATGCCGGTATCGGTAGGCCTTCGTCTTCGACAATCTTTTCGTAAGTCGGACTTATGACGTCATTGATCTTGATCCTGACAGTTCTTCCGTCCAAAGTTTTCAGGGTGATCGTTACCCCGCACAGTGCTTCTTCTAAGGACACTGAATGTACGTAGAGCAGATCGCTCAGGCCGCTTCTAATGAACGTCTCGTGGGATCTGTCTTCGGTCACGAAGACGACGTCGGCCGGTATCCTAGTAGGACCCTGGTCGCCTTCCTCCTTAAACCGTATTTCTGTACACGGATACGTGCCCGGCATTATCGGTATGGACAAAACTTTCTCGCGCAGTTTCAATTCCGAGCAAGTTTCGTCCGTGAATACCAATCTCTGTACCTTCATCTTTTTAAGGCATCCTCTGTATATTTCCTCTAGAGAAAGGGCTAGGGGTCGAACGATTGCCTCGTCCTTTTCTTTGTACCCTTTGCCAAGAGGCGAATCGAACATCGGTGGAGGGTTTTCGTAGTAATCTAACAAATCGGCGTAGGGATTTGTTGTACCGAAGAACTCGTGAAATGTCCTCAACGGCTCTCCGTGGTACGCGTACGGTTGGATATACTCCGTCGGGCCCGGCACGCCTCTCTTGAGACCTTCCTCGCCGTACTGGTCGTAGACAGCCCTAAGTCTATGGTCCACTAATACTTCGTAAGCCTCCCCTATTAGGGCAAATATACGTTTCATATTCTCGTCGTTGTTGTAGTTTTCCGGATTGTATTTGAGCGCGAGGCGGCGGTAGGCCCGTTTTATTTCGTATTGATTGCACGAACGTTTCACTCCCAGTATTCCGTAGTAATCAAATCCCATTATTATAATATATTTGTTGTGTTTTTGTAAACATGCAAAAATGTAAATTTGAAATTGACGTCTTTGTTACTTAACACAAGTCTGGCATTTGATTTGGCAATTTGACATTATTTTGAACTAAAAGCTGTTTTTTTTTTTGAAATTTTATTTCTGTTAAAGGCTTTATAAATTTCATCGAATTACTTTATTGTATTACTAGCGTCTCGCCCCGGATTCGCTTGGGTAGTAGCGCACGCGATGTAAAGAATTGTAGGTAATTTTTTTTTGGGTTTGGTTTGGTTTTATTGAAGTTTTAGTAAGGATCCCTAATTTGTTTGAAAATATAATAAGTATACCCTATGTCACCCGGGGATAGTGTAGCTTGCCAACCGTGAAAGGATTTTTTAAACCGGTTCGGCAGTATCGGAGCCAATTCAATACAAACAAACAATCAAATCTTTCTTCTTTAAAATATTAGTACAGATGGTGGAAGGGCCCATGTCTGTCCTAGCGTTTGATTAGCGAGAAACCGTAACGTCGTATTGGTCAGCCACTATTTGATACTGATGTGCTTTATTTCAATGTTCGTTAGGTACATTTTCGACTGCACACCGGCGAGAAGCCATTGAAATGTACCGAGTGCAATAGAACGTTCCGCCGCCACTCCACGCTGTGTCAGCACATGAAGAAGCACCGGGGCATCAGGAACCACGTGTGCAACGTGTGCAACAAGGCGTTCTATGAGGTCTCCAAGTTGAACGCTCATATGAGGGTGCACACAGGTAACTAAATAACTAGTGATACAATGTGTTGTGTGACTTATGCTCATTTATCATGCCTTCTTCTTTGAAGAGTGGAAGAGGATTTAAAACTGTCCTTATGTTAATGGTCTATTTTAAAGCATTGTTGGCTGCACAGATCAATTGGTGTTAAGTGGCTATCAAAGGAAGTTGAATTATATTGTTTAAGAGCGGGTAAGATAGGCAGGAGAAGGTGGCCTAAAATATGCCCTACCACAAGCACACCCTTAATACCGTTGCACAATCAAGGGATTCAGAGATTTTGACTGTTCTCGGAATGAGTATTCTACTGAGGAATTCTACTGGTGGTAGGACCTCTTGTGAGTCCGCACGGGTAGGTACTACCATCCTGCCTATCTCTGCCGTGAAGCAGTAACGCGTTTCGGTTTGAAGGGTGGGGCAGTCGTTGTAACTATACTGAGATCTTAGAACTCATATCTCAAGATTGGTGGCGGCATTTACGTCGTAGATGTCTAGATGTTTTTCAGGATATTATCAAAATAACCCTTCTACTAATATCTGTTCATAAAATATTTATAACCACTGATACCATGCACCCCACGCTTTTTTTACAATAAAATCATTTTTTCTTACACACTATTTTTTAGTTGGATTTTCTATAAAAAGCGTATTTTGTTAGTTTTTTTTTAAATAATTATTTATTTTTCATTTTATCCAATTTTTTTTTAAATATTAAATTGTCATCGTTCCTATTAAAGTATACCAAATTTCGAGTTGATCCGACTTTTTAAGGGGGGTCAAAATCATGTTCAAAGATTCCGTAACATACAAACATACATACGTCTGAAGCTGAAGAAGAAGCACATTGTGTCGGTACTGTTATCGGTACACAAATATTAACGACGCTGTGGTGTGTAGGCGAGCGCCCCTACGAGTGCCAGTACTGCGGGCGGCGGTTCGCCCAGCAGTCGGCGCTCATCTACCACAACCGGATCCACACCGGCGAGAAGCCGTACAGCTGCAAGCTCTGCTCGGCCAAGTTCACCACCTCGTCCGCCAGGAACAACCACATGATCACGCACACAGGGCACAAGAAGTTAGCGATCATCTATACATATAAATGAAATTGGAGTGTCTGTTTGTAACATTGAAATAACCGCTTTTTACTACATGCATATGAATATATATAGTACGGTACATACACCAAAATAACATTTTTTACAATTTTTGTCTGTCTGTCTGTCTGTCTGTTTGTTCCGGCTAATCTCTGAAACGGCTGGACTGATTTTGACGAAACTTTCACTGATAGGTAGCTGATGATATGAGGAGTAACTTAAGCTACATTTTTGAGACTAGCTTCGCCCCGCGGCCTCATCCGCGATACGACAATAACCGCGGTTAACATCGCGGGACTCAGCTATCAATAATAAAATTTAATGTTTCCGAAGCGAAACGAGGGCGGGTCGCTAGTCTATACTAATATTATAAAGAGGAAAGATTTGTTTGTTTGTTTGTATTGAATAGGCTCCGAAACTATTGAACCGATTTGAAAAATTCTTACACTGTTCGGAAGCTACACTATTCCCGAGTGACATAGGCTATAATATTTTTTAAGAAAAATTAGGGATCCTTACTAAAACTCCAATAATGTAACCCAAGGTGTAAAAAAATTACCTAAAATATTCTTAACATCGCGTGCGCTTCGAAATTTTTGATGATAGAATAAATACAGTGTAGCAGCGGTCGGGGAACTTTTTTAATTATTACCCCAAAATATTTTTCTGTAAGTTGATATTACCCTATGGCGAAGAACAAAAAAAATATGAAATCATTTCTTTTTAGCATCTTTCATATTATAAGTCGCCTACATGATAATTTTGAAAAGAAAACAATAGTTTTTGTTTTAAAATTTAATTTAAACATCATTTATTCAATTTATTAATGTAATATCTAGTAATACATAACGGTAATAACAGTAATATATGTAATATACAGTTGAGGACAAAAAATCGCCCCCACAGAAAATATAAGTACCTAAAACCTAATTTCTTGTTATTTTATAATTCATATGATATTTTTCTTGTATTATTAGACGAAAAAACTAGTTAAAATTTTATATATATAGCCCCTATAAAAAAAGCTTTTTTTAATTGAAATATTTTTTTTCGAGTTTGAAATCACAATGATTCTAAAGAAGTTTCACTTTAATATATCGACGCTTGAAAGGCAAACGTGACTAAGCGACAATGCGTGAACTTTACAGTAGACTAATTTAAAGTTGAAATACCTGACAAAAATTATATTTTAACGAATCTAGCTGTAGGATTGAAATGATTTTAATAGACCTAGAAATATATTTGTTTTGCCCATCGAATATGGTTATTGCTTATCATTTATGTATAAAGCAGTTATTGTCGCTTAGTCACGTTTGCCTTTCAAGCTTCGATATACTTTTTACTCACAAAAGTTTCATTTTTACCCCCCCGCCCCCCCAAATTTCATTTTACCCCATCTGGGGGTAATTTACCCTGATTCCCCGACCGCTGAAATGTAGGCTGTGATATCGGTCCCACAACCGCAGGTACATCTGCAGCATCTGCTACAAGGGCTGCACCTCGAAGACGGAGCTTCGGGTGCACATCACGAAGCACACGGGGCAGAAGCTGTTCGAGTGCACGTACTGCTCGCAGCGGTTCAGTTCCGCTTCGTACCTGGCCGTGCACCGCCGGTACCACACCGGCGAGAAGAACCACCACTGTCAGATCTGCGGGAAGAGTCAGTATACGTTTATTTACTTATTCAGCTCCACACACAAAGCTACAATGGCGGACTTAATGCCTTAGAACTTATACTCAAGGTGGGTGGCGCATTTACGTTGTGGATGTCTATGGGCTCCAGTAACCACTTAACACCAGGTGGGCTGTGAGCTCGTCCACACAACTAAGCAAAAAAAAAAGTACCTACGCACATTGTCTTTTATATATGTACATAGATATCGACTTTTAGTTTTCACAAAGCAGTCATGCGCGCCAGTTTGAAGGTCGCGATAACTGTTATGTCATATAATGAACTTAGATCTCATGTCTATGGGCTACAGTAACTACTGAATACCAGACGGGTTGGCAACACATGCAAACTGTTATTTTTATTATTATCGGTTAAGTAATTTTGTGTAGCAGAAGTGATATATATTGGAATGTAATTACAGGCTTCATTGAGGCAAGGTCGTACAAGAAACACATGAGTTCGCACGAGAACAAGGGCGAGTCGGAAGCGAACAACTCCGAGGCGGCCGCCGAGACCGCGCCCGCCGCGCACGAGCCCGCGCCCGCCGCCGCGCCCGCCACCGCGCCCGCCGCCGACACGCAGGACGCAAGTACGTGAGCTCGGACAGTCGTACGCCAGTCAGTCTACAAAGGCAATAAGAAAAAAAAATGACCATAAATTTTTATTACAAACAAACGAAATTGAATTGCATAGTCAACCGATTTTTCCTTTTAATCCTTTATGAGATATTCAAATTTTTGAAGCGAAACTTCTTTAGGCGCGTTGAGAGCAAAATTTAACTCGCGACAGATTCGTTACGGCTAGAGAGAAAAGATACAAATAAGGAAAAGTGAGAGTGAGAAAATAGACAGAGCGTCTCGCAAACCACTCAACCGTGGGGAAAGGGAGCTAGGTCATTTCTCCTATACACAGCATTCCTTTTACAAGAGAAATTTGATTTAATAAGGACGAAAAATGAAGAAAATCACAATACTACACCACAAAAGAAGTTTCACTTCTTTCGCGTGCACCAAGTTGCACGCCCACCATTTTTTTCTTACTAAATGTCAACAACAAAGCAAAAGTGATAGAGTAAGAAAAAAATGAAATCTTGCTGACACTAGCTGAAATAATTATTCTATGAGATGCCCTGCATCGATATTTGTTGGGGTAGTTACAATAAAACTGAGACAACGACCTGATTTCGCGTCATTTTTTATTATTATATCTACTGCTTTAAATGTTGTATGTCTTTTGATTATTAATCGAATGACAAAAGTTTTTAATGTTAAAAATATGTTTTGTCGCACAACAGATCAGCTTCAGATGAGGGACACTATAACTATAGAAGTGCCGGCGATGACGTCACCGGCCGAGCCGCCGCCCCAGAAACGCTACAAGTGCGGCGTCTGCGTCAAGACCTACATGTACCTGCACAGCCTCAAGAAGCACATGATGACCCACGTACAGGTATTTATAGACATCGCAGTGGNAATCGAATGACAAAAGTTTTTAATGTTAAAAATATGTTTTGTCGCACAACAGATCAGCTTCAGATGAGGGACACTATAACTATAGAAGTGCCGGCGATGACGTCACCGGCCGAGCCGCCGCCCCAGAAACGCTACAAGTGCGGCGTCTGCGTCAAGACCTACATGTACCTGCACAGCCTCAAGAAGCACATGATGACCCACGTACAGGTATTTATAGACATCGTAGTGGAAACGATCCGGTGGTAGATTCTGGGAAGCTTGCTCTAGCTAGGGCTAATGTAAGTAACGTCACCAGGTTATAACCCTCATGAGAGAGAGAGAGACAGAGAGAGAGAGAGAGAGAGAGACAGAGAGAGAGAGACAGAGAGAGAGAGAGAGACCACCGCCCTGCCTATTTCTGCCGTGAAGCAGTAATGCGTTTCGGTTCGAAGGGCGGGAAAGTCGTTGTAACTATACTGAGACTTTAGAACTTATATCTCAAGGTGGGCTGTGAGCTCGTCCATCTATTTAAGCAATGGAAAAAAAAAATAGTTACCGGATATCCGTTTCATCTCCAGTCTTATAAGTTCTACACAATTAGTGATATTAATAATTTGGAATACAGCAACAATCACCACCAACACAACAACAACAGCAACAACAACAGCAGCAGCAACAACAACAACAGCAGCAGCAACAACAACAGCAGGCGGTGCAGCAGGCGGCGGTTCCGCAGCAGCAGGTGCTGCAGGTGGGCGGCGTGCAGCAGCTGGCGGTGCCGATACACGCGCACCACGTGCAGCAGGGCATCGTGCAGGTCGACCCCCACTTAAATCTATATATATATAAATGACATATCGAGGAGTTGAAGGCTATTTGGTTCGAGCGAAATTTTTGCAACTTTACAGGAGAGGCAAAGCTTATAATTTGAAAAAAAATGTTATGACAATATTGGTACACAGTCGACGTCGCCCTAAATACGTCATTACGGTTCCTCCCGATCCACTAACGGTGCTTTTAGGGACCACAAGCACCGGTCACCGTTCGCATTCTGTGTACGAACACACTTACATCCGAGTGCCTACGTAATAGGTTAGGGAAAAAGTCTTTTCGCATTATAGTATGTATGAACTTGTAATAAAATCTGTTTGGCTATACTATTTGTCTCTGGCTGGTTTTGATATAATTAAAAGTTTAAATTTTAAAGAAGATAATTTCAAATTCAAATTAGGAAAAAGTGTAATTTTTATTTATTTTTCGTACTGTCAAGATGAGTGAATCTATAATAATAATAATAATAATAATAATAATTTATTTATTAACCATGATACATTTACACATAACAGTTTGCTAAAAACTCTCCACACTAGGCACTGCCTGTCTCGTGGAGAGTTTTTTTTTAATGAAGAAATTCAATACATTTTAAAATTTTAGTAAAAAAAGGTAAAAAAGCAACGCAAGCCTCGAAAAAAAATTGCGATGCTTATGGACCTATATAGTGCTGTGTATTGGAGAGTAGCACAAATTTGGTTTAAGCGTTTTCGATCCGGAAATGTTGATATCAAAGATGCACGTCGCTCTGGTCGCCCATTACGGATAAAATTGATGCTATTTTTGAAAAAGGAGAGCAAGATCGGCATGTCAGTAGTTACGATGTAGCTGAAGAACTGGGAATTGACCACAAAACAGATTTGGCGCATTTGAGAAAAAACTAGGTACACAAAAAAGCTCGATATTTGGGTACCTCACGAGCTCACTGAAAGAAACCTAATGAACCGTGTACTCATTTGTGATTCTTTAGTACGACGTAATGAAACCGAACCATTTTTGAAGAAGCTGATAACTGGTGATGAAAAGTGGATCATGTACGACAAGAACGGGCGAAAAAGGTCGCGGTCAAAGGCCGATCAGGCTTCACAGACTGTGGCGAAACCCGGGTTAACTCGCGACAAGGTGATGCTATGTGTGTGTGGTGGGATTAGAAGGACATTATTCATTAAGAGCTGTTACCACCAGGCAGGACCATCGATTCTGAACTCTACTGAGAACAACTGATGAGATTAAAGCAAGAAGTTGAGAGAAAGCGGCCGGAATTAATCAACAGAAGGGGTGTGGTTTTTCATCATGATAACGCTAGACCTCACACATCTAGAGCCACGCAGCAAAAATTAAGAGAGCTTGGCTGGGTGGTGTTAATACATCCGCCGTATAGTCCTGACCTTCAGATTTCCACCTGTTTCGGTCTCCAGAATTCTTTAGGCAGTGTCAGGTTAACATCACGAGAGGACTGCCAAAACCAGTTGTCGCGGTATTTTGATCAGAAGACCCAAAATTTCTATAGCAATGGGATCATGCCCCTACCTACAGGATAGCAAAAAGTTATCGAACAAAATGATACCTACATACTTTAGTTAAATGTAGATAAACAATGTTAAAAAATGTTGTGAATTTTCTTAAAAAATGCGAAGAAACTTTTTCCCCAACCTATTATGAGTACACTGCTCACACTCCACTGTCCCAACTGTTGTTGTTGTAGTCCTAGGGTACCCCGCTGGTACATATGACCATCACAAGTTGTCTCCAATTGAGCCTGTCTTGCGCTGGCTCCTTGACATCACTACAGGTCACGTCAGCAGTTCTCATCTCACTCCATGGTGCGTCACCAAGTATGTACAGGGCGACCAGGTCTTCTCCTGCCCAGCGGTTGTCAGTCAAACGCGATTGATGCTGCGTTGACTCCGCTATGCCGTAGTGTATCCTATCCGACGCCATTTCCGATAGGCAATGTCTTGCTGTCCCAACTAGGCCATCAAATTAAACTACTTTTTTACTGGTGGTAGGACCTCTTGTGAGTCCGCACGGGTAGGTACCACCGCCCTGTCTATTTTTGCCGTGAAGCAGTAACGCGTTTCGGCTTGAAGGGTGGGGCAGCCGTTATAACTATACTAAGATTTAGGTGGCACATTAACGTTGCAGATGTCTATGGGCTCCAGTAACCACTTAACACCAGGTGGGCTGTGAGCTCGTCCATCCATCTAAGCAGTAAAAAAAAAAACTAACTGTTAAATTATATTTTTGTATTCACACAGAACGGGCAACACTCATATCCGGTGATATCGACGGTGCAGTCGCTACAGCTACAACAGAGTCAACAGGTTATTATTTTATTCAGATAAGGATCATAAGTGCTCATAACGTAACCATTAAACCCATGACGATATCAATGTGTAGGAGTCAAGAGTGTAGTCAGTGGTGGTAGAGCGTATTGTGCACGGGTAGGTGCTGCTGTTGGAAGCGTGAGACAGATGTTATGGAATACCTACAGTTGAGACGTCGACCTCATGCCTCGTGATGACTGTGGACTCCACCAGCCAGTACATACACCAGGAGTGTGGTGACCTCGTTCTAGTCGTCTAAGCAATAAATAAAAACAAGCAAAATTACATGTGCAAAATTAATGTGAAAAAAATAATTTAAAAATAATATCAAACGGAAGGTTGCTTAAGCATTGGTTAATATGGTCTATGAGTGAAATCATCAGTTATTATCAGGTGGGCCGTATGCTCATGTGCTTAAACGAAGGTAACAAAAAAATAGAATAATTGTGGTTTGTTATTTACCACCATATTAACTGGAAATTTGTATTCCGAAATAAATATGTTAATCACACTTATTTTAAAAAAACACTTCGATGCCTCCAATGAACACTACGCTAACTCCAAATTCGTAGATTTACAGGAGGAGCGTTTAAACGAAAAGAGTTGATAATATCTTTATTATTGCAGATATATTTATGGTTTTTTTGTGTAACTAGCTGATTTACTATTGCTTCGAACCCCATCAATAATGATTAATTGTAATACTTTTAACATAGTGAAGCGATTTGCGTGAAAAACGACAATTACAAAATTTTTAGTTAGAGTAGTGTTCATTGGAGGCATCGACTTATAATGTTTTGGTAGTATACAGGATATATAATATCAAGCTAGGCAGGCACTAGGAGATGTTAATTATATTACACTAACGGCCCGCTCCGGTTTCGCTCGGGTCTTTATCAAAAATTTCAAAATAAAAAATTATAATACACACACATTAACCTAAGGGTTAAATATAAGTATTTGTGTCAGGTTTCTAAATAGAGAAAATTATAAAGATAGTTTGAATATTATTATTATTTTAATGAACTTTAATTTTAATTTTTTTTCACCTTGGGTTACATTATTGGAGTTTTAGTAAGGATCGCTAAATTTAAAAAAAAGTTAATATAGCCTATGTCTCTCGGGGATAGTGTAGCTTCCAAGCAGTGTAAGAATTTTTCATATCGGTTCAGCAATTTCGGAGCCTATTCAATACAAACAAACAAACAAACAAATCTTTCCTCTTTATACCATTAAATTATATAGATTCTGAAAATATTATTTTTAAGTCAAACATTAACACTAACTATACCGTAACGGGTCAAAGGACCCATTTTGAAGTTGTGCACATTATTGCTTTTGCACATTTGACTTCGTGACTTTTTTTTTACCCGTTGTTATAATATTATGCTATTTCTTTTTGTTTTGTTTTGTTTATTTTGAGTAAAACTTGTTGTATACCGTTATCTACCCGCTATGGTAGAAATAGGTACCAGTAAGTGTTGGTATGGTTGTTAGTATTGGTATGGTTGGTATGATTAGTGTTAAATCGTCGTGCGACTGGTTGTCGACTGACAGTATATATAGCACGGTGATCGCTTTTGTTCCAGCAACAGCCGCAGCAGCTGCAAGTGCAGACCATCCAGATCCATCCGTCGCATCAACCCATCCAGATACATGTACGTGTTGTTGACCTCAGAGATATGATGAGGCTTTTGTTGCGGTCAGATAGCTGCGACAACTGTTGTCCGTGGGCCGTTCTTGATCAATAACCGTTTAATTGATTATTATGCATGAGAATGCACAAGGCTAGCTTATCCCAGTTTTCATGAATGCAGTATATTTTGTAATGAGGATGATCTACATTTTTTTATATAATTTTTGGGTGGACGAGCTCACAGCCCACCTGGTGTTAAGCGGTTACTGGAGCCCATAGACATCTACAACGTAATTGCGCCACCCACCTTGAGATATACGTTCTAAGGTCTCAGTATAGTTACAACGGCTGCCCCACCCTTCAAACCGAAACGCATTACTGCTTCACGGCAGAAATAGACAGGGTGGTGGTACCCACCCGCGCGACTCACAAGAGGTCCTACCACCAGTAAAAACCTCAAGCTTTTGAAACAACAATGTTTAAGAGACTCTAAATTTTGTTTAGGCGGTCGGCGTGCAACAAGTGCAACAACAACAGCTTCACGTCGCCACTTCTTCCTGTCAAACGATGCTCCCGAACATTCTACAGGTAAATAAACCTTAATAGGCACATTGTTTAATTATTTCTCAAGTGAAACTCATTACGGGCAGACCATCGCCGATTATATGAGCCCACTCGTTACATAATATTGATAGTGCTAAGACAGTGCCTTGGTGTGCAGACAATAACTCTGTGGGTCGCGTTTCCGATCCGGTGGTAGATTCTGTGAAGCACTGCTCTTGCTAGGGCTAGTGTTAGTAACGTCCTCAGATTAGAGCCCCGTGAACTCATACTGGTACTTGACCCCTCGAGGTCACTAGAATAGGTAGAAAAAAAAAAGACAACTGTATTAAATCTCATCACAACCATATGATTGTTTTAGGAATATAAAAAGGACATATGTTGATTTTTAATTAATTTTCCTAAGAAATTAAATATTTAATAGTCGATTATTTATATTGTCTAAAAACATATCAAGACACTTCGACGTGAAACAATTGGTCTAAATTTCAATTACTTCGTCCTACACTTTAGATTAGTTAACAGTACAGATTTTTTTTTTATAGCTTATATGGTTGGACGAGCTCACAGCCCACCTGATATTAAGTGGTTACTGGAGCCCATAGACATCTACAACGTAAATGCGCCACCCACCTTGAGATATAAGTTCTAAGGTTTCAGTATAGTTACAACGGCTGCCCCGCCCTTAAAACCGAAACGCAATACTGCTTCACGGCAGAAATAGGCCGGGCGGTGGTACCTACCCGTGCGGACTCACAAAAGGTCCCACCACCAGTATCAGTATACTGTGATTGTATGAACAGCTCCAGCCGGGGACGGTGGCGGTGTCGGGCCTGGGCCAGCAGGAGATCAACGTGCCGCATCGCATCATACTGCAGCCTCAACCGGGACACCCTCACGTGTTCATACATCACTAATAATAAAATCGAATAATCGATTGAAATTTTGAGGTGATATTTTAATCGATTTTTATTCGTACTTTTCCTGTCAATTAAATATAGTCTGCGGTGCATACTTTATATAAGTAGCTTTATCAGAATTTGTTGTTGATTTTTATAGATCTGTAAATAAAATTAAATACTTATTATTATAATAATAATTGTAGGATTTTAAAAGCAATGAAAGTACATATGTTAAAGTACTGCTACCCATATTTGTTAGTTGTATTTATTTTTTTGTTTCTTAAATTTTATGTTCAAAGTCGATATTGTTGTAGTATTATAATAATCAAACGTTTTCTTTTACAGTAGTAAATTATTTAATACCAGAATAATAATTAGGTTTTATATTGTAATAGTTTTCAGGAGGTGATAGCATATGACTTAGCTTTAGTGTTTCTTCTGTATATTTTATGTACAATTTTGATCATAGCTCTATTAGAAAAAAATAAACGAATTGTCAATTAACTTTCTTGTTTCAGTAAAACAACACAGTTATATTAAAATTATTATTATACTTTACAAATTAAGACAATGCTTAAAAATATTATCAATCAAATACACATTCCATTACATATAATTAAAAATAAAATTAACTTACGAGCGGTCCAGAGAAATTGGCAAAAACTTAAGAAAATAATATTACATTTGTTTCTTGTCAAAAGTTTATCAAAACGTCTTTTTTCATATTATTTATTAAAACACCCACACGTCAAACATGTAATATATATATCAATTAAATAAATAATTATGCTTTACTTTTAAAAACAAACTGTTTACAATTATTTTAGAAGAAAAAGAAACACGTTGTAGATATTAGATATTAATTGAAGAGATTTAAAACAATTTCAATTTATAATTCTGTTATACTAAAGAAATATTTGCAGTACAACCTATTGATCTTATGTATTTATTTATTTAGATGACATAATAGTGTATGAAGAACATGAATTGGACAGATAATTAAGTTTAAATTAATTAAGTTTCCATGAAAATACATATAACATACTTCTCATGTCACAAGATGTTTCAACAGCATACAGAACAAATTAGTTAAACTTATCTCCAAATGCATTACTAATAAATGTATGTAAAAACCGTTCAGAATCCTATAGTTTGTTGAAAACAGTTTGATACGCCGGGAGTTTGCACAGCGAATAGTTTGAAAAATAATAATTTTATTCGAATGGGACTTCCAGTCCTATAAATCAGTCTAAACATTTGCCGCATATCAAACTATATTTAACAAACTATTATGATCATCACAAGTTCCAGAATATTTCTTTTTAGGCTTGAATGATAATACTGCAAGTTTTATATATTATTAAAAAGGTATTTTAGTCGAAAGGAACCCTTTTCCAAAAACTAAGTTAGTTTGTAATGATAATTTAACTATTGTGGTTAGTTTTTTATGCACTAAGTTTACATGTTGCTTTAGCCTTTGGTGTCCGAGGTTATTAAGCATTTCAGCGTTCGTAAAAACTTATTAAACAGTTCAATGAAGACGACTATTTGGCAGTAATATTATTACAGAAGAAATAATTAAATACTATCTTATAACATAAATCGAACATGACAAAACGACACAAAGATGTATACACGACACGATTAGACAAAGATAATTTATTCAAGGTTAATTAACTATCAAGAACTCTCAAATTAGTGTTTCAGGTAAAGAACGAAACCAACATTCAAAGTTAAAAGTATGAAGGTTTGTACAGCTTCGAACAAACTATGACACATTTTTCTATAATAATCAAACAATAATTTTCTATGGTCACTATTTAAAACCTAGTGACTTGATTTAAAAATTAAGCTCTTCGCCGAAATAGCTTTAAAATAACTCACATCTATTCATTTATTCTCGACGGTTTAAAATCCCAACTTCACAGACACACAAATTCATTAAAAAGCCTTTACGTAAATTATTTAAGTTCAAAGCTTTAACTAAATTACGTCTCGCGTTTACTAGTCTTAGTTTTTCAATAATCTGAATTGACTAATTTAATTTTTAGATCAAATTCGATAAAATAAAGTACATTTAAATATTAAGGTTCTACTATAAGGAGATTGGATGCGAATTGTGGAGAATACAGTATAGAGAACATACCTCAAATCTCTCAAATTAAAATGCAATGATTGCGACAGAGGAACCCAACTGAGTTGTACTTTGTATTCGTTTTGAAAATATATTTGTAGTCTTTATAAATGACACCTAGTTCTAATGATTGTGTCTTATACACTTTGAACAGAATCCGTGTCGTATGGGTATTCTGGCGTCACTCTGATGTAAGCGTCGTGCACTGTCAGTCCGGGAGGTAGTTTCACGTCTCTAAAGTACTTGTGTCGTCGCGCGTCCTTCGCGGATATTCTTTTAACAGGATCGTAGACCAACATCTTTTGTAACAAATCCATGCCCACTTCGTCTAGGTTTTGTACCTGTAAAAAATGCACGTTACAATTGACGGTAGGAAGAAAAGATTTAACTCAGTCACATCATTGATAATACCTAGTATAATATAACTTAAATAGTGTTGGGGAGTTTTGTGAGTCAGCACGGGCAGTAATGTATTCTGATTTGAATGGCGAGACAGCTATTGTACTGTAAAATTGGGACTTAGAACTCATGTCTTAGGATCGGTGGCGGCATTTGTGTCGTTAATGTTTATTGGCCCCTGTAATCATTTAATACTAGGTGGGCCACATGCTCGATCACAAGTCTGAGCGATAAAGAAATTAGTTTTGATATGAGGTGGAAGTTTCAATATAAATCACATAAGAGCTGTCCCATCTTACAAATCGGAACACATACATAAGTGCTACACGACAGAATAAAAAAAAACGTGTGGCACTCGGGAACTGCCGCGGTAAAGCTATTGCATAGCATTTTTTATCAACTTATGCAATTATAACTAGACAATGATAATTTAATATTAAAACAATAATAAAACAAGGCCACGCTATATTAAACATTAATAAAAGCAAAACCTTAACTGTCCCCTTCACACTCATAAGCTAGACCGCGCGAGAGAGAGAGATGGGCAGACTTTTCATGATGCGCATGCAGTGTGACGTCACGCCACGCGCTTATTCACAAACACTACACAAGCGCAACGTGTGAATGTGTTGAACGCGAGCTACATGGTAGGCGGAGTGAGGGGTGTAAGGTTTTTTTAGTTACGGAATTTCATTATTCGGTCGCCACGCTCAAGGCCCGCGATAAAATCTATGCAATAGCTTAAAATTATGCTTCATACATACATGATTGTGCAGATTGTACGTGTTCCAGTTCGGGAAGGTTGGCTTGTAGTCTGGTAGGAGAGAAACACCAGGCCATATCTCTTCTGTTGGCGTTCTTAGCATTCTGTTAATAAATTAAGAGATCTTGTGATTTAAATAGTTACTAATAAGAAAAAATAGTACTCCAGCAGATACCATATACATTGATCATAAACGAAATTGGAAAATAAGTCAGAAAAATTATTTAAAAAAAAATTGGGAGTCACAAATCCCATATTAGAAGTTTAGTTCATTCATGTATCTCCATTTCATTGGAAATTANGTTCTTAGCATTCTGTTAATAAATTAAGAGATCTTGTGATTTAAATAGTTACTAATAAGAAAAAATAGTACTCCAGCAGATACCATATACATTGATCATAAACGAAATTGGAAAATAAGTCAGAAAAATTATTTAAAAAAAAATTGGGAGTCACAAATCCCATATTAGAAGTTTAGTTCATTCATGTATCTCCATTTCATTGGAAATTATGCATGAAGCAAATCTATCTGTTAAGAATTTCACACTTTATTTGAATTTACACATATAGTTTGTTTTATTTAAGCTAATATCTGGCATAAGCAAGGTTGCAAGAAAGTGGAGGTACATCCGGGAATAGAATGGATAAACAGAAGTTTTAGAGGCTAAAAATATGTAAACTAGTCTTCTACTTATTTGTACATACTTCAAAATTACACTTATTTATAATCATATTTACTGCCCTGTAAATGTAAGTCAAACATTTCATTATATAAGGAAATTACTCAATCAAGTGAAATACTATTTCTATGAACTATGAAATACCATTATCATAATTTAATTATCCCAATAACAGGATTTTTTAAAATTTATTAACTGTTATATAAATATTGTTGTAGTAATTGCACACCCAGAAACATCCAAAACTTGAATGTCCACATCATATTTTAGTTAGTGTTCAATTCGTGTTTTAATCCAAAACTATAATTGTATTCTAAGCACCAGTTACATTCCATTGTTGAAGGGAGCATAAAAAACTTTTTTTTTTTCAATTATTGTTGTTAACATTTAACTCTAATAAATTTAAGGCAGAAAAGTAAAGCAAGCAAGTGGTCACCGTTGCTCATGGACCTCAGAAATGCTCACCTGAAAATGCGGAAGAGTTGATCAATTTCAGAGTCTCCTTGAAACAGTGGCTTCTTTGATGACATCTCAGAGAATATACAGCCAACTGACCATATATCAATTGGACAAGAGTATCTAAAAGTAAGGACAAATTACTATTATACGAAATAAATTAAATATTTTTAAAAGTATGTCATTATTGATATATTATTATGTAATACCATAGTGGTGGTTATTACTGAATAGAAGAAATCTGAGAATAGCCTAAATCATGCTAACAATAATAATAATAAAATCTTTCAAAATATATTAACTTGTTTAGATTAATCTACCAAACGTTGAACTCCACACAGTCACTGACCATTCTTTTGTATTAAGAAACAATTAGTGGCAATGTATTGACACACTATTCTATGAATTTACAATGCAACTTGCCATTTTTTGTAAAACAAAGTCTAAAGCTCTTAAAACAAAATGTTTTTTCTACAATGTATTTCATTATTGGGCCAAATTACAACTAATGTGTATTGATTACTCATTATAGAGTGAAAAGTTATATTGGAGTTTGTAGTGGCTGGTTTTCGACTGATTTGGATAAGATTTCACCTTTGACTTCCTAGTAAGACCTCAGGAGCCCTGTACCACAATGTGACAACTTCATGTGTGTAGACCCGCACTGGAACACCAAATGCTCGACCAAGACCAAAATCTGCAACCTGTCACAAATTTATTAGGTATTTATGAAGAAAATAAAACTATATGACCATTGTCTAATGTCAGTGTTTGACTTTTCAAACTGATAAAACTATATTTTGAACAAATATACTATGACATGGCCTTCACACACGTCATTTCGGATCCTCCTGATCCACTAATGGTACTTTTAGGTACCTCAAGCACCGATCATCGTTCTCGTCGTACCCGTCGCTTGCGACGAAGGGCTCGACCAGTAAATTAACCCTCAGACACAGCCCACTGAGTTTCTCGCGGGATCTTCTCAGTGGGTCGCGTTTCCGATCCGGTGGTAGATTCTGCGAAGCACGGCTCTTGCTAGGGTTCGTGTTAGCAACGTCGTCAGGTTTGAGCCCCGTGAGTTCACCTACTAGTTAAGGTTACGCTGATATAGCCTCTCAAGGCTATCAGGTTAGGTAGGAAAAAAAAAGGCCTTCACATTGACCTATAGCAATAGCACTGACACTGTTCAGCACCATTTAAGTTTGACTTTCGATCTGTTTCTATTATTATCTCATCTACATATGTTACTGACAAAATTGAAAATCTTAGCCTGCCTCATTGAATTCAAATAGTTTAAGTTCTAATATGACATTATTTTTAATGCCTTTTTTATATTTTTGTTATATTTTAGGTCACTATGACTTGGTATTGCATCATGCTAGTCATTGGAGAACTTTACTATTATCCCAGCTTTACTAATATATATGGTATATATAGAATGCACAGTTTCAGGTTACTGGTTTTGATTTACAACTTTTTTAAAATAATAAAAAGGCCAGTCAGTAGTCTAGATCTGAAGAAAGTGATTCTTGCTAGTCCCAAGATTCACTGTTTAGCACTTTTTAATATCTTTTTGCAGTTATTAATATCACCATAAAATACTCTCACTTTAATGATTCCAGTCTTGTCGATGAGTAGGTTCTGTGGTTTGAGATCTCGATGCAGGATCCGTCTTTGGTGACAGTACAAGATGGCATTGTTGATTTGATATAGATAGCTCTTAACTACAGATGGGTCCATGAACTGAAAATAAATAATGATAACTAATATATTTTTTTAAAAATCACTCGGCTACAAAATTTAACATTAAGAATTACTTTGCCTTGTCTTGTGTGACTTATTTATTGCATTTATAGATGGCCCACCTGATGGTGAGTTATATCTAGGTCTTGCGGAAATCAGCAATTCCAGAGGCAAATTCCAGCCATGGTCAACTGCTAACGCATTATCTCAGGAGACCTTCGCAGTTTATTTAAACATAAAACGAGTTTTTTTTTTCAGAAATAAAAACTCCAAAGATGCAACTAGTCCAAATTAACATTTTTTTATATTTTAAGCATTGTATTCAATTTATATGATTGTGGACACACTTCAAACAGGCATCATAGTTTGTTGTAAAATTTAATTTAAGGCATGGTTATGTTACCTTTCCAGAACCAAGGGAGTCCATATATTTCTTCAAGTCCATGGAGAGGAATTCGAAGATTAAGTAAAGTCGCGACTCTTCCATCAGGACATCCTCCAACTTGACAATATTAGGGTGGTTCAGTTCTTTAAGTAGAGATATTTCTCTGAAATGTTTTCAAGAAGTTCTGGTTAATATAGGTTATGTTCTCAAATGCATGAGAATGTGTTTTTAATTAATATAATTGTTTTAGTGCAAGTAATTCATTCAATTTTACGTCATTTACCTTATTGCCGTGGATGGTATGCCTTCGTCTTCGGACTCCAAGCGAATTTTTTTCATGGCTACAAATTGACCAGTTATTTTGTTTTTTCCTTTGTAAACGACACCGTAAGTACCTTCGCCGATCTTTTCTATCTTTAAGAAATCATCCATCTTGTAGTAAGGAATTTTGGCGGTTTTATGCAGACCACAACAAAAAAATCACAACACCATGCAATTTTTCTTACTCCTACAAAATGCGTGTTTTAATAATTTTAATGTGTTTTAAATTCATAAATGTCTCAACATTTGACTGTAATCCTTAGTTCAAGTCACTTCTGTTCTTTTTAGGAAATATTTTAAATGTTTTACTATTTTACAATCTCTAACGTTTATCCCTTCAACGTCTTTCAAACGAAAACTTTTTGAAATTTTTCGAAGTGGACTATTTATGTCAATTTATGTGTCTATGCTTTGTTTATGACTAACTTGTTTCAGAGTTAAATAACTCTTAGAATAGCATAAATGTGCTACTTCAATAGACAAAATTGTTGTTGTTAGAATGAGATAGTACTAGAACACTAAAAATGCATATCAAAAAGCTTGATGTTCTATGAATGGTATTGGAACACATTATCATAGACAAACAAAGAGAGATTAATTTGAAAAGCAAGACGTACATACATACGTTGTAAGCATAAGTCTATTAAATAATGCAAACTTAATCATTTCAAAGCAAAATATAAATATTAGTTTAATTTATTTATTTATTTTGATAGGAGTTAGACAGGAAAGCAGCGATACATTATTTTTACAGTAGTTTTCGTCCTGCAACACTAGAAATGAATCTGTTTGGTACACTAATGTGTGGAAAACAAAGCTTAAATAATTATAGCTGTATAAGGTTTTCAATCTGATTTAAGGTCACAAATAGTCACAATCGATTTTTTTTTCGAGGCATCACATTAGGCTTAAGTTTTTTTTGCTTTAGCTTGTTTTTATATCCGTGATAAATGTGTTTTTTTCTAAGCTCGTTCTAAGAACTCAAACTTGTTTTATGTTTTTATTATCTTAACTACTTCGGTCTTGGTACTTCTCGAAGTCTGAGTCTGAAGAGAGAGAGGTAATGAGAGCAATTCATCATACTCAAGTTCTACAGATAATTCTGTTTCTCAATTGAACTCTATGCAAACTTTTGCCCTTGAGCGCATTATTGTTTTGCAGCATAAACAAGTAAAATGGTGGAAACTCCCGTACGGCCTAAATCAGGGGCTCCCAAACTTATTTTTTCTACTGCCCACTTTGAAAATAAATTATTTTTTTGCGCCCCCATTTTTTCACATACTTAAAAACCACTATACCGAGATCTCATTCGGTGTTTAGAAGTCCCCCTAGATGAAATTACAAATTGTCTCCCAAGCCTGTACACAACGCCCCCTTTTTTCTGGGTCTCTTACCGCCCGCCTTTAAGTCTGCAGCGCCCACAAGGGGGCGTTATCGCCCACTTTGGGAAAGGCTGGCCTAAATGTTATAAGTTACAAGAAATGCATAAAGGCCGGTACACAATCACGAAATGCTGTTAATAAGAGCATTATAATATTCAGACAATGCCCATTTTACGTTGAGCCCCTTAGTTCGTTATTCAAACACCCACAGGAAGATATGAGGCGTTATTATTCTAGGTTAACATCATACAGCCAAATTTCTGAGAATCAATAATATGCACTATATTATTTACAATAGAACACGGCGATTTATATTACATACTTTAACTTGTGGGTCAATAATCTAGATAACGTTAAATTGATAAACTATATACTGTTTAGCTCAGCATATTTTCAAATCACGTATGTACGGCCAAGCGTGACATTACACATGTATTTTTATCAATATGAATATAATATAGGCGATGGAGTTGATAATTCGATATTATTCACTAATGTCAGCCCGTGTGGACAATGTGGCGGTTTGTGCTGGTAGCCAATGTTCTCTTGATAGGAAGGGTGAGTTTTTTTTTAAAATTTTAAGTAGCATGTACTGCTGGAGGAATTTTCAGCCTTAAAAGGAATCGGGCTTAGGTCGTACAGACGTTCGATTCTTGAATAATGAAATGCGAGTAGAGTAAATGTTTTTATGCAATGCGATATAAATATATCTAACACTTCGTTGATTCGGTTGTGCATTTAGCGACATTGACTGCTGGGCCAAGGGTCCTGAGTTCAATTCCCACATCGGGCAAATATTCGTGTGCTGTACATGTTTTTTAAATTTTTGTTTGGGTGATATTTACACATGGACTTTAAAAAAAACGTAAAAAAATTAGCCTAAAAATGTGCAGGAAATTCTAGTTTTGTTATTGTTTTATTTGAGAATAGTTAATTTTGTCACATTTCTTTGTAGCTAGACTTTCTTTTATATAATCCAGCCTTGTTTAGGAAACTCATTAACAATAGATAGACTACGTGACCTAAACGTTACATGATTCGTAGACACCAAATGCTATTCAAATGGTAAAAGTAATATAGTAATAGTTTGCAAAGTTTTACTGGTGGTAGGACCGCTTGTGAGTCCGCACGAGTAGGTACCACCGCCCTGCCTAATTCTGCCGTGAAGCAGTAATGCGTTTCGGTTTGAAGGGCGGGGCAGCCGTTGTAATTAAACTGAGACCTTAGAACTTATATCTCAAGGTGGGTGACGCCTTTACGTTGTAGTTGTCTATGGGCTCCAGTAACCATTTAACACAAGGTGGGCTGTGAGCTCGTTCACCCATCTAAGCAATAAAATAAAAATAAAAGTGACGCTTCGGCAATTGGGTTTTAAACGACATACATATTTAGATTTCCTAAAAACAAATCAAAGAAATACTATGTATGTTTTGTTATGTGTATTTCATGCACTGACCGTATGTGGCATAGTGCTATTATTAAAACTGCGTAAAATTTCAAATAAGATTTTTAGGGAAAGAAGAAATGGAAATTTTGAATTGAATTTGAATTTGAAATTGAAAATTACTACACGTTTTCATAAAAATTTATCGTAAACATTTTTTTTAATTGACCCGTGATTTTATGCTGTACTCTGACGACCACGGAAAAAAGGTTTACTAAAAAAGAGATTTAATTATGAATATCAAAAGTATATGTTATCCGTATGATCCAATATTTAGGTTTCACTACAGCCAATCACAGCGGAGACTACTCAAGATGGAAGACAGTCAAGACAATTGGACATCAGTGATTGCTGTCCCTGCCCCGAAAATGCTGATTCAACCTCAAAAACCAGTTGGAGGCTTGAAAAAACTGCCGGAGACGGTTCTCTGAAAACGAATCTCGATGATGAATGTCCATGTCTACCTAGGGATTCTGAAGGAACGTCATCTATGATCTTCCCAACTGCACTGCGGTCTGGAGCTGCCACCGGGTAAGAGTATGCTGATAAATTGTAGCGATTATGAAAAAAAAAAACTATAGTTCAATTCGTATATGTGTGAAAATTTCTGGCTTATTAATGTGTGTACCTACATTGTCTTCACACAAGCACCAAAGCAAGTGAATAAATTTTGACCAAATTAGTGTAATGCTGTGTTTTCGTTTGTATTTGGTAGAAATATATATATATAGTATACGACCTCGTTTGTACCCGCTTGCTGCAAGTAGAATAATTCTCAGCCTCAGTATAAGTATTATATAATACGTAAATGTTATGTAAGTTATACAGACATCTTCATTATCTGCAAAAATGTACTGAGCGTGTTTTCGATTCGTTAGCAAAATATATCAGTTTTAATAATCGAATCGTCCCTTTAGGTACATATTCCAGATGATTAGATCAAACAGTGAGTTTTATTTGTTTAGACTAATGGATCCCAAAGAAGACCCCAAGAATCTGCTAGAGCCAGAAGTTGGTCTAGCTTCATCTGTTCTCGAGACTCTGCGTCAAGCTACTGAAGAAGAATACCAAGATGCACTTGCTAGAGATGCTGCGAGAGCCAATGCTAATGATGACGCTGTTCCAGAAGAAAGCGCATTGAATACTGTAACCATTATACTACCGCAGAGATCTGTAGACGACCGAGATACCGAAGAGACACTAGATTCTCAAGAGTCTCAAGAGTCTAAATATCTTGAACCACTTGGGAGTACAATCAAAAAGCAAATACAATCGAAAACATATTCTGGATTAAATGATATTTTAAGATTACCTCAAGTCGAACGCCTAACGTTCTTGCAAAAAAAGCTTTTGAATGTGGGAAACGGTGTCAGCACTAGTAAATTTTTGGAAAGAAATGAAGAGACTACCAATAAAGCGCCCATGCTAAAATCTCCATTAACAAACCAAGAACGAGATCGCACTGAATTTTTCGAGGATCAAGGACAGTCTATTATTCATCAATCTGACGACAGTGAAGCATTGAACAAGGAACAATGTAATTTTAGTACAAAAATAATTGAGTCGATGAAAATTAAAAAAGCTGAAGGCGTCGAAAATGATTTAGATTTAGCAGCCAGTAACATAAATGCAAATGTTGCACGAAATCAAGATGAATTCGAATCACTAGAGATGACCAAAGCAACGGCGAATAAAAACCCTTTATTTCATAATTCATTAATATTAAGAGAACTTCCCAAGCGAATTCAGTTAGTTGATAAAATGAATGGTAAAATGAAATTAAAACAAATTTCAGCTTCACAACAAGATTATAGAAAATCAATTCTTAGTGATTTAACAAACAATGGTTTGAAATTCGATATCAATAAACGGAAGTGGATCGATTTCAAAGATACTGAAAATGAAGAGGAAGATACTGTTCAGAGCAGTAGGCAGAGGCAGGAAGAGGAAGTCGCTCAGCCTGCTAATGAGTATAAAACAATGGATCTTTCTAATGCGAGTGACACTATGAATGACACAGAGGGAAAACTATTAAATGACTCTTCATTTGAGAATTTAAACGAAGAGGCTCAAAAATTTATTAATAGCAATGAAATTAGTTCAGAAAATTTTAGCAGGTCCCAAAATTCAGAAGAAATATTAAATACGGAGTTATTAAATACACTATTTCAAGTGGCTCCAAATCGAGATCATTCTGATTGGAATAAAGGAACAAGGGTCAACGATAGTCACACAACGAACAAACATAATACTAGTAACATATTTCACGAAGAAGATATAAAAGATTCCATCCAGAATGATATGATACCAGAAAATACTGAAATTAAAACAGTTGTTTTAGACAAATTGTCGAAAACTGTTCCAAAATATATAAACAGAAATGAAAAAAATATTCACAGTGCAGACGAAAAGCCAGAATTTTCTAACAATATTCCCTTGTTACAAGACAAATTTATAAAGAATTCATTAATTAATCAAAATGTTTTGAGTGATTCAACACAAGAAAACCCAAAACGTTCAC